AGATGGATATGAGGTGGGAATTCACAAAACAACTCATGATCTTTCAGATGGATCAGTTCCCTTTGGACCAAATGCAGCTTTGGCCCCGGGAGTTTGGTCCGGGCTCCTTGCCTTCTCACAGGCTGAGAGGGCGCTGTTGTACGCCTGCGCCTCGAAGCTTGGAAGCTGCTCAAGTAGGGCCAGCGCCGGCCTCGGATCCGATCAAGCAACATGATTGTTTGTGTTTCCTTTGTTTTCTTGTTTTTCTTCTTGTGTTTTTCTCTTTTTTTTGTTCTTTTTTTTTCTGGCGATGCGACATGACATCTACATCACAACACATCCAATCAACAGGCTTATGCCTACGTGTTCTCTGGTGCCCCTTGGAATTGAAACAATCCTGAAATCCATCGACCATAAAAAGGTCAACTGGAAATAGATGGGAGCCTGTCAAGGACCTTCACGAACGAATCGCAGCAGAATCCCTCGATCAAAGAAAGCTGCCCAGACCCATGCCCTGCTCAAAACTCCGCCTCTGGTGGCCACGATTTTCTTCACAGAAACCCGTACATTGGTTACTGGTTGAGCTTTGTTGTCCACAGCCCTAAGAAGTTGATGACCATCCTCAGTGGTCGCTTGGCAAATACAGTATGTCAACTTCAACTAGAAACCTGGCGTTTGACAAGAGATGTAATCTGTGGCAGCCTTGAACCGAGATGCTCCTTGCATGGGCTGGATGGCACATGTCTTTCTTACGCTGCAAATTATCCTCCTGTCCACTGACATGTAACAAAGGGTCCCTTTTAAGGGAAACTCGTCTTCCAGGACTCCTCAGTCAGGTTCCATCTTAGTGGACAGGAGAGCAACACGGAACGCAAAAAATCATGGCCAGGTAACCCAAACCGTCCGAACCTTTTGCGGAGTATGGAACACAGGAAGGGACTCCCCAAAAGTTTCAACGTGTCATAAGTGGGGGGCCCACCAATGTGGCTTTGCATTTGGCTTCCCTTCAAACCAATCCTAAAAAGCTCAAAAGGCAAGCTGAAAAACAGACGCGCGCACAAATGCTGCTGTGCGTTTCCATACGAATCTGCGGGGATTCAGCGCCTTCCGGCCTCCACTGCCAACCTTTCTCGCACGCAGAGATGGCAGCAGCTAAGGCCACGGAGTCCGTCCCGTTCTGCACCAGCAGCACAGCCTGCTCCCACCTGGCAAGGCAAATGGAACTACCAACAGGGCTGTGGGGAATGGAATCCACTTCTGTGATACAGAAAGGGCTTCCCAAAGACGATTTTCTTCATAAGGGTGATTCCCTTGTATCACAGAAGTGGGGAGAAACCCCTTGATCCCACAACCCTGACCAACAATGTTATGAGGTTTCTTAATCGGAAGTTTACAATGGTCGTCTACATTGCCATATTGAGGGGTTCATGGCCATCCCGGTTTTGGCGCGACGCCCATGTGTGCCATGGTCGAAACACCCTTTTGCTTGGCGGGTAGGAATGGGTGGTTGCAGTTTGCTTTCTCTTGAAGGCAGAACATGGGTTCTTCGAGCTATGCGAAAAATGGAACCCTGGTCTCTTCCTACTCCGATGTGAGTCAAATCACCCTCAAGCCAGGATGCTTGTGAGGGAAACATGATTCATCTGTTCAGAACCTTGTGGCAGATTCGACACCCCAAGTCCGCCCATTCCAAAGCTATAAGTTATGAGTTATGAGGTTTGCTTTGATGGCGTTGCGTTCGTCCCTCTTCGGCCTTGGCTCCGGATTTTTTGGCATCAAGCTTTACACGGTGTTGCTCACAGTTCTCGCTGTCCCCCCCCCCCAAAACAGGGCGGAAACGGCTGGTTTAGGAGGATGGCCGCATAGGGAATCAAACCCTAGAGCTTAGACAGCCAACATTTGACTAAGGAGCACGAATCATGGAACAAATGCGAGGAATCATGCCTTTTAGTGTCCCTTTGACAGAACCCTAACAAGGGTGCCGACACACAAAACAAAGAAGAGACATCCCAAGGGATACTTGTAGGACACATGCCATGTTTCACAGTTGCATGGTTGGGGCAGCCATTTTGTTTAAGATCGGAAAAAAACACAAGCTCCTTGTGGTTCCCCTTTTTAGGGGGGGGGCAAAATAGACCTGGAAACTTATGTCTCGTCCCCTGCGTGTTGTGGTTGGAACTCCGCCAAATCTCTGTCCCTCCAAAATCAATCCCAAGCTCAAATCGCGACAGCGAAAGAGACCCGAGACATGCCAGGTCTTCGAAACCGTGGATCAGAGTGATAAGTTCAAATCCCCGGGTAAAAGATGGCTCTTTCGGACTTGGAACCCAAAGGGGTGCCCCGAAAGGATCTCTAAAAATGGTTGTTCAGGCTTTGTGTTTCGCAGGAGAATGAACTGAGGGTATGGAGAGCTTGCATGCTGCCCTAGAACGAAAGCTCGTAGCCCAACCTTGGTTCTTTGTGCATGACCCGTTTCCACCTTTGTCCAAGCTACTTGCACTGCGTCATTCTGCTGCCCCGGACCGAATCAGAACACCTTTCACTTGGTCCTGGACCAACATTTCGCCTGCAAATGGTTTGGGAGAAGGCTCATAGTCTAGGGGGAAAGGATTTGCCAGTTCCATCTTTTGTCCAGGTCAAGTCCCGTCACCTAGCCGACCTTCCCCGCCTGGCCACCCGTGCCAAAGCCGCCAAAGCCGTGCTGAGTCCACGAGCGTCAGCTTCTGCTACAGCCAGACACCGCTGCCACTGCGACGCTTCCTTCCAGCGACGCCGGGCGACCCACAGGAAGCAAGAAGCGAGTGTAAAACGAAGCCCTTACTTGAGAAGAAAAGGTGAGAACTCCCCAAACTGTTTGGCTTACCACTACAGCATTCTGTCCAAAGTGTGAAGTCCTCTGGGGAAGACCCCACCCTCCCCAGAAGCCATGGAACCTGAGCTGGGAGCCGGGGTCCTGGATCCCCCAAAGCAGAAACACTTGAGGGCTTTGTGTGCCAAATCACGATACCCTCCCATCAAACATGGAAACACACCACATGAGGTCAAAACCATGGAGTGTCCAGGTGCTATGTCAGTGGGAGGGGGCACTCTCATACGGTTTGGTCCAACTTTCCTTTCGGAAATCGAGCTGATGCACCTCCATGTTGGGAGCGTGCCTACGACATGTTCTGTTGGCTCAGAAGCTGGCAGTTAAGCTTTGTGTCTGGACCAAGATCGGCGCCCACCTCGAAGTTGCTGGCGGAAGGGGCTTGGGAGGTATCAAAAGGGTGGGTTGCGCAGCGGGGGGGGGTTCTCGTTCTGTTCGCCGTGTCTTCAAAAAGAGCCATTCGTATGCCTGTTTTGATTCCGCGGGCAAACAAACGTCCCTGTTGGTTTGATACTTCTCAACAGTTTGGTGTGTATATTGTACGATCATGTGTAAGTAAAAGATGTGATACTGCATTGTTTTACCACACACTGGCCTTGTATACATTGTGGTCAATTCGAATCCACGAGTTGTTTCTGTTGTGAGTTTGTGTAAACACCACATGTCAAAGGGACCTCAACAACAATGAAATTGATGCCGCTCGCCAATCTCGGTCCCGACGCATGGCTTGGTTTACAACTCAGAAGGTGTTTATCTTGCATGCGATCCACTGATCCTGGGTCAGTCAAGTCAGTCAAGCTGCTGCTGGATGGTGTTTCCCTAACCAGTGAAAAGATGCCCTCCCACACATGTGGCGTATGGCTCAAAAGCGATCGATCGAGCATGAGGCCGCTTCAGGAAAACCATCATATCCTTCCAAAGGGGTTGCACTCACCCGTATGGGCAGCTCATCTCCTATCAAATGAAACATGATTCCAAATTACTGAAACCCCCAAAACCAAGCTTGTAGTTCTAAGATTATGGAAGGGAGTGCAGAAGCAAGCTTGGCGTGGGGCTGAGCTCGCTTCATTTTTGGCTTGTCAAAAGGCAAAGTGCTGGACGCGCCTTGCATGCCAGCGCGGCCGTGTTGAAGCTGATGGCCTCAACTCGCATTCCGTCATTTGGGTGGTGTGGGTGGGTGGGTGGGTCGGGTCGGGTCGGGTCGGGTCGGGTCGGGTCGGGTCGGGTCGGGTCGGGTCGGGTCGGGTCGGGTCGGGTCGGGTCGGGTCGGTCGGTGGGTGTGTGGGTGGGGGTGGGTGGGTGGGGGTGTGGGTGGGGTGGGTGGTGGTGTGGGTGGGGTGGTGTGTGGGGTGTGGGGTGGGGTTGGTGTTGGGTGGGGTGTTGGGGTGGGGTGTCCTGCCATGCGCCGCAAAAAGTTGAGGAGGGTATCATAGTATTGAGACAGTACCGCATCGATCACGGTCCTCCTCCTACTGTACAACTCGTACGCACCCCACCGTCGCCTTCCCATGCGGTCCACTTTGTCAACCGCAAGGTTGACCAAATCGCGTGGGGTTTTGTCACGAGTGGAGGGATCAGTCAGAAGCGGCGCGAGCTCAGGAAGCACCGTTCCAACTATGTACTGCCGATGGTCTGACTTAGTTGGCGGAAACAATGTGTCCCACGGCACCCAGCATCATCAGATGGTTGGGACTGAACATACCCGAGGATGTTGATGGCCATGGAATCCCGCCATTCGTCAACCGACAAATGGCAAACCTTCTGCAAGTACATCTCAACGCGATCAACTTGCGCACGATGAAGTCACGTGGGTGACCTGGCCGGTTCCGGCCTGTGGGGATGGCATAAATAGCACTTGGCTTGAAGACAGCCTTGAGGTGGTCATTCTCCAAGACCCCAAGGCTGGAGTAGGTCTTTGCCTGCGTCGTTGACAATGCGTGCTGATCAATCTCTGCCTCCTTGAAGGACGTGTCAGGATGCAGTTGGTCAAGCCCATAGCCATATACCTGCTCAAGCAATTCTTTCCTGCTGTTCCACACCATCTCGGACGGCAGCAAGCTGGCAAACTTTTCCAGCAACATCGGCAATTGCTCACGGAACGCAAGCTGCTCCAGGTCCTTGTTCAAGCTCCTTCTGAGGAGAGCCACCGTTGCACAAGGCAGTTGCGCCCGACCACGTCCAACAGCCACATTGACCAAATGGTGGCGGCTTTCCAGCCTCTGCATCACCACTAAGGAGGAGACCAAGCAACTCCCCAACGATATTGTAGTGCAGGAGTTCGCCGTTGATGCAGGAAATGATATGTTGGTGGTTGGTGGCTTGCCCAAAGAAAAACCAACTCACCACCCCAAGCGACGCCTTGGCTGGTGCATCCTCGTACTCCTTCAGCAAGTGGGACGCGACAGTCCTTGATTCATCTTCAGTGGCGGCGGGAAATGCAAGGTGACGGCCCATGCGCAGGATTGCAAAGGGAAGCGCGTCCCAGAATGAAAATGCTTGTCGCAGTCGTAGGAGCATCATAGCCTTGCAGTCGTGGAATTCGCTAAGCAACTGGCTGGCAAATGATTTGTGTCTTCTTCAGTCTGACTTTTCAGCTGCGCATGCAGAATCGTTGCGGAAGGAGATAGGCCGCATTCTTGCAGCTTCTTGGTAAACGCGTGCCAAGCGCCACAAGCGAGTGGAAGAGCATTGCGCCCTTTCAGATTGCAAGTTGACCTCTCTTTGTCCAAGGCGTGCGCGCACGGGCAGTCATGAAGCCAAACAGCAACCTCGACCCCCCAATCGCTGAGGTTTTGGACTGTCATGCACGTGGCCCAGAAGCGCAGCCCATCTGCTGACGATGGATCACCCACAGAACGCAGCATGTCCAGCTCACCCCTGCTTCCGAGAGAGAAGCTGGGTCATTCAACAGGAAGCCTAAGGCGTGCTTCCTGTGGATGACCCACAAACGGCAATAAGTCGTAGCTTTGCGTGCAGCAGGGCCGAGAAACCCAAGAAAAGAGTTCATGTCGATACCAAATCGATATTGCCTTTCCTGGCAAGCGGCACATATTGCCATCGGTGGCTCATCAGCGACGGGCACGTGGTTCTGAACAGCGCCATGAAGGACTTCTTGAGGCGTGGTCATGGTCTGGAATTGGAAGGGCCATGCCGAAGAGGGTGTCCCAAGCAGGGAGCTCTTTCTGCAACACGCTGCTGGGTGTTTGCCAAAGTTTGGATCGGACAGCATCGACCGGCATCTGGACAATGTCCCGCGCAGCGACTCAGACTCCTGTGCGCAGTGAGCAGCACCAGCAGTAGTAACAGCACATGGTTTGTTGGGTTGACCCATGGTTCAGTTCAACAGCGCCCAACCACGTCTTAGAAGTCAAATCAACTCTGCAGTTTGCAGACGAGCTTCCAAGCTGAGCATGCTCCCAGCGTCTGACATACCAGCAAGCGAGTTTGTAGGAAACCCACATGTTGGAACGAATTGTGGGCTGGCATCAAGCCTGACATGTAGACGCCATACCTTGCTCATGGTGAATTTGTTCGTCCTGGCGTAAAGCATAGAAGCAAGGTCGAAGCCAACACGCCAAGCGTACAGGACAGACTTCTTCGGCACGTCCAGGCCCTTACCGTGCGACTATTATGTTGATTAGTTTGCCTCGCCTGCCTCACGTCATCGCAAGCACATATATGCCCAACGAAACGATACGATCCAATGTGTATCTCCGTCAGCCAAGTAGCCTGTCTCAGCATGTGATCGACCAGAGCATGATGCAGTGTCTTGTTTCATCTAGTGTTTGACTGATTGATTAAAGCAAGTGCCACTCAATCAATAATGTTTCATGTTTCATCAGCGGGTTGCTTGGCTCACCTGGGCCTACCCAAAATGGGCTACCACGGACGGCGGGGCCGGGCAGCGTTCCTAGTTCGACCAAAAAATAGGTCTCGGGATGCTTTGTTGATCCTGAAATATTTGTTTCATTCAATCTATTTTCCCGAAAGCATCGCGAAGGGTTCTTCCGTGCGCAGTCCTTGGACAAGTTACACAGAGCCAAGTTACATAGAGCCAAGTTACATAGAGCCAAGTTACATAGAGCCAAGTTACGTAGAGCCAAGTTACATAGAGCCAAGTTACATAGAGCCAAGTTACATAGAGCCAAGTTACATAGAGCCAAGTTACATAGAGCCAAGTTACATAGAGCCAAGTTACATAGAGCCAAGTTACATAGAGCCAAGTTACATAGAGCCAAGTTACATAGAGCCAAGTTACATAGAGCCAAGTTACATAGAGCCAAGTTACATAGAGCCAAGTTACATAGAGCCAAGTTACATAGAGCCAAGTTACATAGAGCCAAGTTACATAGAGCCAAGTTACATAGAGCCAAGTTACATAGAGCCAAGTTACAGAGCCAAGTTACATAGAGCCAAGTTACATAGAGCCAAGTTACATAGAGCCAAGTTACATAGAGCCAAGTTACATAGAGCCAAGTTACATAGAGCCAAGTTACATAGAGCCAAGTTACATAGAGCCAAGTTACATAGAGCCAAGTTACATAGAGCCAAGTTACATAGAGCCAAGTGGCACAGAGCCAAGTGACACAGAGCCAGGTGGCACAGAGCCAAGGTTAGGTAGAGCTTGCGTAGAGCTTCGGCGTAAGCAGCTATGTAAGTTAGTTTAGGTTTCTAAGGCGCCGGGGCGGGAGTTTGATCATCGCTCGGGATTGCGACCCTCTGCGGAGATCCGCGTGGTCGAGGTTCAAAAACTGGCGACTTTTTACGATTTCTGCAAGGCGCGCGCGACCCTCTGCGGAGATTCGCGTGGTCGAGGTCAATAAACTGAGACTTTTGACGATTTTTAGCATGCGCGCGCTACCCTCTGCGGAGATTCGCGTGGTCGAGGTTCAAAAACTGGGGACTTCTTACGATTTCCGCAAGCCGCGCGCGACCCTCTGCGGAGATTCGCGTGGTCGAGGTCAAAAAACTGGCGACTTTTTACGATTTCTGCAAGCCGCGCGCGACCCTCTGCAGAGATTCGCGTGGTCGAGGTTCAAAAACTGGGGACTTCTTACGATTTCTGCAAGCCGCGCGCGTCCCTCTGCGGAGATTCGCGTGGTCGAGGTTCAAAAACTGGCGACTTTTTACGATTTCTGCAAGGCGCTCGCGACCTTCTGCAGAGATTCGCGTGGTCGAGGTTCAAAAACTGGGGACTTCTTACGATTTCTGCAAGCCGCTCGCGACCCTCTGCGCAGATCGTGCGAATTTGTTGCTCGCGAAATGGCCTTTGGAAGTTGTCTCGTGGCTCGCGCGCCTGCTTTCGCAATCCCGAGGTCGCGGGTTCGATTCCCCCCTGGTCCGCGGCAGCTCCGGCTTGAAAATCGCAGCTTTTAAGTACAAACGTAGTACGCGGAGCGTGCTCCTGCAGCTCCGGCTGGAAAATCGCAACTTTTAAGTACAGACGTAGTATGCGGAGCGTGCTCCCGCAGCTCCGGCTGGAAAATCGCAACTTTTAAGTACAAAAATAGTACGCGAAGTACATTCCCACAGCTCCGGCAGCACTTGCCAGAGCAACTTGCGCAGAGTCACTTGCGCGGAGCAACTTGCGCTCTGCGAATTGCACAGAGCAGTTGCACAAAGCACTTGCGCAGAGCAACTTGCACAGACCAACTTGCACAGAGCACACGCGCAGAGCAACTTGCTCAGAGCACTTGCGCAGAGCAACCTGCACAGAGCACACGCGCAAAGCGCTTGCACGGAGCAACTGGCGCAGAGCAACTTGCACAGACCAACTTGCACAGAGCACAGGTGCAAAGCGCTTGCACGGAGCAACTGGCGCAGAGCACTTGCGCAGAGCACTTGCGCAGAGCAACTTGCACAAAGCACTTGCGTGCAGCCGCTTGCAGAGAGCAACTTGCGCGCAGCAGCCTGGAACAATGCAGCTTGCGCAGACCACTTTCGTGAGAAATCGCGCGGCGCAGTTCGAGAGGAAACTAGGATGATGAGATGGAGCTCTCATGTGACCATACACATTGAGCATCGCCGCGTGCAGACACGCTCGCCGCAGCGATGTAAAAAGGTGTCTCCGCGGCTGGATGAGCACCTGGGAAAAATATGCTTTCGGGCCAATCGTCCTCTAGTTTTCCCACCGCGCATGCCCTGATATAGGTCTCGGGATGCTTTGTTGATCCTGAAATATGTGTTTCAACCTATTTTTTTCCCAACGCTCAGGCCTTGATTTTAGGGCCGGCCTGCCCCCCCCCCCCCCGGCCCCGCGGTGCAAGAGTGATTGGAACCACTAACAAGGCCCCGAAAAAAAGCTGCAGTCCTCAAAAGGCTAAGGATGCTAAAACAAGACACAAAACACAGTAAAAAAGACTCTTGTCACCGAAACCCTGGTTTGGTGGTTTTCACCCTTTCCACCAAGGGGTCGCCGGAATTAGTATGAGTCACCGACGCGTTGTTGGCTCATGTTGGGCGCAATGCCGCGCCAAAGTAGAAAGTCAGTAAAGCTGGAATTTACTCTCCTTGCGCTTCTTCGCCTGCGCCTTTGCCCAAGCCTTTTTCTTGGCAAGGCGGGCAGCAAGCACGTCCACAGACGTGCTGCTGCTTTCGCTTGAGGCAGAGCTCTCCTATTCGCGAGCCTGCGCCAGACTAGCTGAACTCAGGCCTAGCGGTCAGGTTTCTTTGTTGAGAAACAAGGGAAGTTTTGCAGCAAATCCGTGGAAAACCCATGGAAACCCGTATTTTACCCGTAGCTCCAACCAAAAACATCGTGAAAAACCCGTAGTAACCCGTGGTAAAGCGTAGAAATGGGTTTTCTAGGGTGCGCCATCTTGCCCGCGATGAGGTTGTGATTGCCCTTTGTGGCAATGACGTATCCACTGGATTGAACCGTTTTTAAAACACAGGAAAATGGACCAACTGAACGGGTGTGGGTGGGTGAGGGGGGTGGGTGTGGGGGTGGGTGTAGGTGTGGGTGTGTGTGTGGGTGTGGGTGTGGTGTGGGTGGGTGGGTGTGGGTGGGTGGGTGGGTGTGGGTGGGTGTGGGTGGGTGTGGGTGGCCCACCCACCCACCCCACCCCACCCACCAGCCCCCACCCACACTCACCCACCCCACCCCACCCCCACCCCCACCCCCACGCCCACGCCCACGCCCACGCCCACGCCCACGCCCACGCCCACGCCCGCGCCCGTGGGTGGGTGTGGTTGGGTGGGTGTGGGTGGGTGGGTGGGTGGGTGTGGGTGGGGGTGGGTGTGGGTGGGTGGGTGTGGGTGGGTGGGTGGGTGGGTGGGTGGGTTGGCGGGTGGGTGGGTGGGCGGGCGGGCGGGCGGGTGGGTGGGTGGGTGGGTGGTTTGGGTGTCATACTGTGGATGGACAAAATCCACTTTGAACCAGTTGGTGGCCTCCCAGTCATGGGGTTTTGGGCTTCATGCGATTCTGTCCAACAGGCCAAAAGGCTCGGATGCTCGCTACGGATTTTCACCAGCACAAAGGCAACACGCTGCCAAGGAGGCACCCTTAGGGCAGTTGCTCATTGCGCTGTCAACTATTACAGTTGCCCAAACCCTAAGACCCCAATGGACCCAACACTATGAGGGGCGTGTCGGTCCCCAAACGTGGTGGTTGTCCTTTTGGTTCCCGTTTGAAGCCTCCAACAAGGGGTACCCTCAAATAGGGACCCACCAATATCACCCATTTCCATCCCGGGCCGGGCGCCGGGCCGTGGCGCGCAAGGCGCTGCGCGTGGCATCCTGCAGCAGCTGCAGGGCGTGTTGCCACTTCTGCGCCAAAGCGCAGGCGTAGGCGCCGCTGTTGAAGCTCACGATGTCCACCTTGTGACCGAAAACCAAAAACCGAAACCCATCGACCTGAAAGAGGACTCACCTTGCTGGACCTATAAATCATCCCTTGTGGTTTCCTTTAAGGAAATCGCCAGGTTCATTCCCTGATGCCCTTCTGAACACCAGCAAGTCACTGGGTTTCCCCTTCGAAGGGTAGGAGGAACCACATCCTTTGCTTCTGCTCAAGTCGAGGGCTTGGCGTTGTAGTCTAACCCCTATGAAACCTGAGCGGCAAAAAACAAAGCTTTAGTTGAAAGATGGTTTTACAGGTTTCTATGGGGTTTATCTTTACTACAACCCCCAAACCAGGTAGATGCACCTACTAAATTGCCCAATAGGGGGTTTTGGGCGCTCACTTCCCCATTTGGCTGGTTTCGTAGGTCTTAGGTCCCCATTTTAGTCGGGACCCAACCGAACCACACACAGACATTGATTGCGGTGGACCATTTTTAGTGAACCTGCCAAAAACAGCCGGAGTCGGATTCTCCTAAAGGACACGGAACAAGTAAGTCGCCTGGTTTTTGAACCAAAACTTAGAGTTCGTCCACATGTTCCTCCCAAGTGAACCATAGGGTTCACCTATAGACATTTGCTTCTAACTTGAACTGCCCGCCAATCTAAAACTTTTAACTTGGTTGTACAATTTTACAGGCTTTGTTTTAATTACCTACTACAATAGCCATGGAAAGCGGTTTTGCCCGATGCCGCTTGGAGCTTTGTCGAATGCGATCCTGTGGATATTTTGCATGGGGAGTTGTGTCCAGTCATTGAGGACTGTACAACTCTTCAGGGGTACTGCACTTCCAATCAGTCCTTCCTATTCCTGGCAGAAACCCACCAAACACGGATTGGAGAAATGAGTGGATTGCTCAGAAGTGGGAGAAGAAAAAAAACTTTTCCCCAGCCCCCGAAATCGACCTCTCCGGCGCGCAGCAGCTCCAGCGCTTCTTGCCAACGCGCGGCGCGGGCCAAGATGGACAGGGCCTCAGAAAGAAATCCGCCGAGCGGAGACCAGCCGCAAATATCCCAAAAAAAATGCCTGCCTTCGTCTTCGTGCCCTTCCTGCCTGGTTTTTTTCTGCCTGCCTTGCTGCCTTCCCTCACTCATTAACTCATCCATTCTTCCGGTCCGTTCCGTTCCGTTCCGTTCCATGCCATGCCATTGGGTTCCATTCCATTCCATTCCATTCCAGATATTAATCCATCTGTGGCAATGCCCGTCCTACAACCAACCTTCCGTCATCTTAGTCTCAGCCGCTTCTGCTGTGGCCTTGCTGAGTAACTCAATCAATTCCACACATCTTCCCCCTACATGTCTGAGGTCTTGTCTAGCCCGCGTTTTATCGCGAAATTCAAATCTGCCCAGAATTGGCTGGAACAAGGGTATCCGTGCAACGCACTCACCAAACAGCTGTCTGATGCAAACATTATTCTGACCAAGAGCGGCTGTAGCACATAACAATGAATGTCTCTCTTCACGGCATGTATGCCCCATTAAACTGCTAAAGCTAGCACTATCCTAAAAGCGATAGCCAAACTCGCTTACAAGGTGTTTTGGCCGGATCCCGTATTTCCAAATATATTCCACACAGATCCGGCTCGAAACCAAGAGCTAGCCAGAAGGCATCTGGACCCGACCACTGGCTTGGTGGACCAATCAGTTGTGCCGCACTTGCCGAAAGGAAAACAGGGATTTGACTCGTTGAGGCCAAAAATCGAACATACCCAACCACCCCACCCACCCACCCCACCCACCCCACCCACCCCACCCGCCCCACCCACCCCACCCACCTGCCCCAACCGAGACCAGACCGACTCCACCGGTCTCTCCTCCACTCGCCTGGTTTCTTTGGATCAGCTCGGGCCCCGCCAAGCGCAAGGCCCAGGCCCAGCGCGGCACCTCCAGCACCAGCTCGCCCCAGAAGGCGCCCGCCTGGAGAGGCGCCGCGGGCCGCGGGGTCCCGTCGCTTCGACCGCTTGCGTGGGCCATGTCTTTTCGATGCCAAGGGTGGGTTCATTTTTGTTGCAACAGCCAAAGGGAAAACATGCACTTTCAAAGGCTCTGCTGAAAAAGCGGCACAGTTGGATCGTAATTTGGGAACAGCGCCCACATGAGTGTCCTCTTGGCTTTTAATGGGAACAGCGCCAACATGAGTGTTCCGAATTCTGTTTTCTTCCCCAAAGAAGCCTTCGAACAAAGGCACCACCAACCAAAAAACAACAAAACGGCACAACTTCCCCGCGCCCGCCTGCGCGTCCGCGGCAGCCCGCGCCAGGCGGCGGCCCTGTGGGTCCACGCAGAGGCGCCGCAGCGCCTCGCGCCATCGCCTGGAACTCGTAGGGAAGCGGTGCTTCGGCAAAACGAAAGCCACATGGCTGTGGGAGGTGTCCTTTTAGGTTGGAAATAGATGGGTTTCCCTGGTAGATGAGAAAAAACCACCAGGTAAACCAGGGAAACCCATCTATTTTTCGAGCAAAACAACCAAAAAGGACACCTATGGCTGTGGTTGTCAAAACCGCTTTGGGATCCCATTTCGGTTGGTAGGTGAATTCACCACTTATTTTAGAACCTATCTTAGTGGGGATTGGGATGTTCAATGGGGGTACGGGATTTTTGACCCATGGCCAAATCGGTGGCGTCCCCTTTGCTCAGCAATCCTACACCAACTGCTTGTAGATGAAATGTATTATCAAAACTGCAAATTACCTCACATTCGCAATGCGTTTCTCTTTTGTCTGATGGTATCAGAATTTCTTATAGGAAAACGAGAAATAAGCGGTGGTTGCGCCTTGCTCCATTGTAAGTATCGACTATCAGCCTCCCCTTGGTTGGTGGATTCGTGGGTTGGTGGAGGGGTGGTTTCCCATTTACCCTCACAAGAACCAAAGGTTACCGCGAAACCAAACCGCGAAATGGACATGAGTGCTCTTGGACTTTTAGCTGGGGATTTATCTCCACTGTTGAGGAACTTCCCGAATACGGGAATAAATGGGAACCACGGTTGGAAGCGACAAGCTTAAGCTCAGGAAGCTCTGCTTTCTCGGCCTGGCTCATGGAAAATGGGATCTCCGGTTGGAAAGTGTCTCTTCGGAATAATCCCCGTCCAACCGGACATGATTCCTTGAGAACCGGCAAAACGCGGCTTTGCTATAAGGGCCCTGGTGGCCTAAATGATTACTATTTGGTTGCGGAGCATCTTGAAGCAGTCTTACTTGTGATTAGAATCGATCAAGCTGGCCGTACTCATTTAGATCCATAGTTACACTCTTCCTCATACGCATTGGTGCAAAGTTGAGAGATTGCCCTTGACCCCCTTTCGAGCCAGTGAGTCTGCACGTTGGTTCGTTCAGGGTCGTCTTTTGACAGGAACTCAGTTCAAACAGGACGAATCGAATGTAATAATATAATTATAACAATAACAATAATAATAACAAAAACAAATATATATATATATATACACATACATATTATGTCAAAAGAGGGGGGCCCACAAACTGGTGTGTTTCATTGTTTTTCTTTGAACCAAGCTGAAAAGGGTAAAACCACACACGCACGCACGCACGCGCGCGCAGCAGCCGCGGCGTGGCGCGGCGCGGCGCGGGGGCGCGGGGCCCGTGCCGTGTGCCGTGTGTGCGTGCGCGCGCGTGCGCGTGCGCGTGCTCGTGCGCCTGCGCCTGCGCCTGCGCACGCAGACACAGACACAGACACAGACACAGACACAGACACAGACACAGACACAGACACAGACACACACACACACACACACAACACAACACAACACAACACAACACAACACAGCACAGCACAACACAACACAACACAACACACACACACACAAATGCTGTTCCAAACGCCAAACCCAAGCAGAAACATTCCGAAACGTAGCCAATGACCCGGTGTTGTATGCCGCGGCCACCATTTCTATTCGATGTTGTCACAAATGCTTCTCAAGTTTAGCGGGGAGGCTCAGGTGGTGTAACCACCCAAGCCCAACCCAATCCAGGAAGCAGGGGTTGCGGAATTCTGTGAAACTATAATCAAGACCCTCTAGTCTTGAGTATCCCCCCATCTAGAACCTCTACCACAGCTTTTGGCCGCAAACATCAATTTTTTGATTGGCCTAGTCAGTGCTGTTGCCGCAGTCAAGAAACAAGTCGCACAGTCGGGAGGAACAGTGGAGTCCCAATTGATGGCCTAAAAATAAATCATTTCAAGCGTAGGCCACCTGCTCCTCCCATTGCGCACGCGCGCCTTGCACGGAGCAGGCTCTCGAGGTGCGCCGTCTCGTTCTGAGAAACTATCAGTCGTGCGTAGGGCTTGCATCAATTCAGACGGCTAGGCAGGAAGTTGACGCTTGCTTCACAACTGCTTGAGGAAACCGGTGCGAGCGCGTAATCAAAGGCAGTTGACACAGCAAACGGTTGACGCTGCAGACAGCCCAAGGCTTGAATGAGACACTTCCGACAAGACAGCTGTGTGAAAGTAGGCCATGTATGTTTCAACATCCCTGTTACTTGGTCATGCACCATCTACTTTCACTCTGCTGTGGGTCTGTGGTGTCTTGAGGGACGCCAACACTCTTGAAGATACACACACACACCCATGTGGCACCTGAGCAGTCCTCTTTTCGGCCGGTGAAACCTTCAAGGTCTAGAGGGGCTCCGCAGGCGGATTGCCGACATCTTCCGTATCTTTGTGCTTGAGGCTGGAGGAGCCGCCAAACGAGTTCGCTGTTGATCATCCTTAAAAGCAACCATGACAAGGATACCCTGTAGCCAACCAAGAAAACAAACAAACGTAACAGGCAGCTCCCAGACTCAGCGAGCGCACAAGTTGGTCAGTCGTTCTTGTCGCAGTGTGGCGAGCCCATCTTCCTCAGCATGGGACAAAGCACTCTGGCTGATTCTCCATTCTCAAATGTTCCCCGGGTTGGAAAGCCCATGTTCCGAGAAGGATCCCATGGAAAAGCGAATAAGTGTGGTCATGTGTGGTCTGATCGCAAGCCTTACGCATCCCCACGTTACATCTGCAAAATGAGCCAGAAATCGAAAACCTGAAATAAGGGATTTCCAAGCAAGCACGCCATGAAATAGGCCTGCATTTTAATTTCTTCGCCTTGCCCCCTGCACATTTTTTCAGGGGATGGGGCTCGTTTTCGCTGACGAGTGGCTTGGTGTTGGGGTAGAAGGTGTTTGGCCAGCAAATCCAGTAGCGCTTCGAAAACCCGCTGCGCTTCCCAGTGCCGCGGCCCGTGGTCGGTGCGCCGCCGCGGCGGCTCCGGATGAGGCGGGTGTAGAAGCGGACGAACCTCAAGAGGAATGCGGTAAGCTTGGCCCGCGGGTGCGTGTTTTCTCCGAAGCCAAAAGGGCAGCTGCCAGTTTGTCACACGTCTTTGAATGGCGCAAGCACATGTGTGATATCAAACCTGGTCAGTTCGGACCCGGCGCGAATTCAATCCTTGGTGAATCCGGCAACCTACACTCGCGAGGGTGTCAAATATACGTCACCTTTGGGACTCCGGTGCCGCCTTGTGCTGCCTTTTAAAGGAGCTACCGAAACTGCCGCTAATTTTTGACAAGTGCCTACTCGCAAAATCTAACAAGAATCCTTGGCCAAGGCGCTCTTTCCGATCCAGGAGGAAGGCCAAGTCCGCCAGAGCTTGTGATACCAAGCTGGGTTCTCCCTGCAAAACGGGATACCCCCGACGCAAGAAATTACTGGTCGCCTGTTTGCTCTGGGTGTGTGTGTGTGTGTCCAAAAAGGAAACCCCAAAATGGGTGGAGTAGAAAACACCCCGAAAACCGCACCTTTAAAAACCCCACACACACACACACACACCCGTCTGGCCTCCTACCCTCTGTCCGTTAACCTGGCCCTTGCACGGGCAAAATGACCTCCAGCTAAGTCCCATGGCAACGTGGGTGGGAGGATACGTCCGTAAGTTTGTCTAGACTAGATGTCTCATTTCATGTGTCCAGCACTCAACACCTATTGACAATATTGCCCATGTTAAACTGCTCAAGGGTCACAAGGCAAGTTTCGCTGTATCCCCACCTGTAACTGGTAAAAAAGCTTCACCGGACGGAAAATGCATGGACGAACAATCCCCTATTCAGGGTATGGCCCGTCCATACATGGGTTGGGAGGTGGGGATATTCCTTGGTGAAGTTCCCTCGCCAGTGCGCATGGATCAAGCCCTATGACGCCTATGACTCCTGGGACAAGCCACCTAGTAACTGGTGCAAAGTGGAATTTGTCCTTCCAACAAACCACAAGTCCGTGCGAAGCGCTCCTTAAAGAACTTCTCGTCCAAGGCTGCCGTCAGGAGCCGCCGCAGCAGCGCCCGCGGCTCCACGGGGCCCTAACCGACGTGAAAAAAATCAGCCAGAAGGGAGATGGCGGCAATTCCCTTGAAATGGGTGTGACTCAAAATTAAACAGGACGTTACGCAGGTTTTGGTCCATATTTCCACTTACCAGGGTTCCATTTTGGTACCGGCTTTTTGAACCACAGCTAAATGCCCAGGAGGTAATGAAAATGAAAAAACTCGGGCTTGTGCCATTCCCTTTGTATGCAAAGGAGATGATTGGTGCCTTCTACTTTTGACCCGACTTTGGGTTCGGGCCATGTTGGAAAAAAAGCGGTCGAAACATATCTGCAGGTTCGGAATGGGTCCAAGACATGGGAGAGACCACCCACTGAGGGCCTCCTTTTGGCTGACGTCTTGAAAGTGGTTTCAAACTCAAACTTCCTTTTCAGCCCCTTTGTTTGGACCGGTTTGGCATGCATCCATCGTGTTTCTCCGATACAGTAGTGTCTAGAAAGAACTACCCTGAACTCAAAGCGACTGAGGCAACATTACCTGGCCTTTGAGCATAGCTTCTGCTTCATCCTTTGCCCTGAAACAAGCCAGCTGTCCCTGGGATTGCAGCACATCCAGTCATCCAGTCAACCCACGTATGCATCCCTGGCTTTCAAAGTTCGGACACAGCTCGGCCTCAAAGTCTGGCGCAAGTACTGGCGTTGAAAAAATGCTCCTCGCGGCCATGATGCGAATCGCGCGATTGGCAACAAACAGGTCTCTAGGCCTGACTATCTGCCGCAATCCGGCTACATATGTGCATGCCCGGTGGACGCCTCGGATATGAATCACTAGCCAAATTGTAGGCACACCCGCTCAGTAAGACTGAGCATGACCAAATCGTAGGCGCAGGCCACCACATGCTGGTCCTTGTCATGGCTTGCAGCCTTACAGATCAAACCGCACCCGCCGCCCGCGTTTGAGCTGAAATTGAATATCCCAATTTCAGGTATTGACATGTTGGTGTGCAGGAATGCGAGAAACATGCGTAGCTCCCGGCAGTTCCTTGACCAAAGGTCAGCACACGCTTTGACCAGTGTGCGTGGTCAGGCAATTTCTGCCTGTGGCCAAGCCCTTTGGTTAGCTCCTATCTCATTGCTGCACCCTGCCTCATACTAGGTGTTGATTTCTTCCTGCAACGGTTTTGTTGTATGCTTTCTTCGACCTCCAAGCTGAACCAGGGTCAGAGCGATACTTGAAGCTCGCGGACAAAGCAATGCTCGCATACCGGGGACAAACACGCACGAAGACATGTTGTAAGACTTTCGGGGGGGGATTCACCTTCGCTGTGTATCACTACGTAGCTCGACCGCGAATGAAAAGGCAGCCACCAACAAGTGGCAGGCTTTCCGCTGTTGCGCCCTGGCTTGTTGCTCTATGACCGCGGTCTTAGTCCTCTATGCGCACAGAGTCTTCTGCCAGTATACCGTGTATATTATATATATAGTATTAATTTCTAGATAGATAGGCAAAAAGGCAGGCAGGCAGACAGGCAGACAGGCAGACAGGCAGGCAGACAGGCAGGCAGAAACACAGACAGACGGAGACAGACAGAGACAAACAAAGACAGAGAAGACAGAGAAGACAGCAGACAGGCAGACAGGCAGACAGGCAGACAGACAGACAGGCAGACAGGCAGACAGGCAGACAGGCAGACAGGCAGACAGGCAGGCAGGCAGGCAGGCAGACAAACAAAGAGCCAAGAAGTAGGTTGATAGATACCCTCCAAAGAGAGCAGTCTTGTTTGCCGCAACGTCTATGTCCCCTCAAATGCAAGTCTTCCGTGCATTTCGGACCATCGTCTACGACCACCACACCAGCAACGACAGCAACGGCAGAAATGACAGCAACACTACCAGTGGCAGCAGCATGGATTGTGTTGGGGTGTGAAGTCTGTGCTTGTCAACAGCAAAAAACATGGATCAAGTGTGGCACATGAGGTTCTGCCGATTGAATTTGCTCCACTGAGCAGTGCCCAAAACCGTACTGAATTAGTTGTGAATCTGTATGTAGGCCTTACTATAACCCACATGAACCCAGGAACGGTCCGCCAAAGCTTTTGGGCCCTACTCGAGTCAAAGCAGAAACCAACCGACCGCCCACCATACATCCTGCTAGGAACGTCTCCACGCCGGTCAACTGCACGGCGTTCCGTCTGGGCGTAGGCAGCCATGAGGCCTTCCATGTCATTACCTGCCACAGTCCTTGGCAGATGTGACAAACAGGAGCCAAACCCCGTTGCAAATGCTGGGACTTCTTACGTGCCGTACTACTACCCACCTGAAACCAGTTAGGAACCGAACTGCCTACAAAAACTGCAGTGTTGCTCTTGCAACGCGGGATGTGTCGCGCTCGGTTGCTGCAACAGAATGACATCCGCTGAAATGGCCAGGTATCAAATCGGAAAAATCCAAACAACGCCCAAGGAACAACCGAATTACTTCTGACACGCAACAACCCTAAGGTATCTATCCCCTTGGCTTGGCTTTCCACAAGTTAGGGAAGCACGAGTGACAGCCAAGGCGACAAACAGCGACAGCTGTACAGAGCACAACTTTCATGGGGCCGTCGCAGCCAAATGTCACGATTCAGCTGGCTGGTCATTGGAAATCTCCGTCTTGCTGTTTTGCTCATCAGCCGGTAGATTGTCATCCAGTCCCTTGTTCGTCCTTTAAACCCAGCCAGCCAATATGAGCAAACCTATACGACTCGTTTGTGTGATGTGTGAATCGCGGCTGCTGAACTGTGCACGCGCCGCACGCACAGTGCGCCACACACCGCTGGCAAGGAGCTGGTACCACTTCAACGCCTGAAGGCAGCAAAGTTGCACATCCAAAAGGGGCCCTCTGAGGACTGCCCAAGAGCTTCCCTTGGTGTTGAAGGGCTACCCAAGTATCTCCTGTCCAAACAGGTTCTTGCGCATCCAAATGGGGATAAGCTGAATATGGGACATGTTTATGCCAACTCATAGCCAAACGAGGAACACCAAGCGCCTGCCGAACGCACCACAGTTGCACACATCCCCTTCTGTACGACTCAATAGGGTTGGGCGATTCGACACCTTGCTCCATGCTTCAACTGATTCTCTTTAAGCAACCTCCTTTAAACTTCCCTTAGGGACCACTTGAGGCTCAGGCAACGGGGCTTGGTTGTTCAAACAACTCGGAGTGTCTCCAAAAAGGAGGGGCCTTTTTGAATGCTATGTCCAGACCGAACTTGCTTGGTTGCTTCACCAAGCACCTCAACTCGCCCTGCCTCTTGGACTGCAGCCTCCCTGTAGCCCCGAGCCCAGAGACGCAGAATTCGCCTCTCCTCCGCAAGTTGCAACCCGTGAGCCTGGTAGAAACAAAGAACCCGTTCTGTGTGTTATCCGCTTCGAGTGAGAAACCCACGCAAGAACAGAAAAGCGGGGGCTAGTGAACAACTGGGATACTGTGCAGGGGTTTCCAAGTACTACTTAGTACCCACTCGACGTACATGTTTCAGTGCCCGCATGCAAAGAACACTGTCCTATCAAAATATGTTCATCCTTCCTTTCCAGTTGCTTTTGACCTCACGACAGTTGCTGTCCCCCAAGTGACATTGCATATTGGTACCCTCATCTCCTCGTCCTTGCTGGTAGTTTCGGGCCTGCCGATCACTTAGACCTCTACACACATGTGCAATGGTCAATACTCCGTACAAGTATGTGGGTCATGGTCATGGCTCCTAGGCCCCCTTATGGTCTAAACTCCCTGTTGAGGAGTCCATGACAATCCCTGCTAACCCCAAGCAACAATTCTTTTGTGACCACGCCGGTGCCATGCTCCCAAGGTCCTCCTCCGACATGTTCTTGGCTTCGTCCACGGCCCAGGCATCTGCCACCAACCTCACGCTCTCATTCGAATCCAAATTGCCCTGGGGCCCGGAGAAACAGGGATCCGGAGGCATGAAGAAAAACCTGAACATGGCAACTTCTAGATGGCGTGGTGAACCCGTTTCTTTATTTTGGGGTGGAAAGAGCCAGCCATGTTCCAAATGGTGGCAAAATGGAGATCTTTTAAGGAGGCTCAGAGAAACAGCGGGAAAATGAAAAAAACACAGCTGCGGACTTTGGAAATTCAAAACCTGCAGCTGAAGGCAACAAATCGGGCATGCCTGGCTTCGGGCCCTTAAGCATTGCAGTTGCAGTTGTGCAGTCAAATGAAACTTCGCGCTGCAGTTTGAAGGCACCTCACGAATTTGAATACACAAAGCAAACATGAATGAAATTGCGGACTACATTGCAAGTTACAAAACCCAGCACTCCTCACCCCACTCACCCCCCTCACCCCCCTCACCCCCCTCACCCCACTCACCCCACTCACCCCACTCACCCCACTCACCCCACTCACCCCACTCACCCCACTCACCCCACTCACCCCACTCACCCCACTCACCCCACTCACTCCACTCACCCCACTCACTCCCACTCACCCCACTCACCCCACTCACCCCACTCACCCCACTCACCCCACTCACCCCACTCACCCTGCTGCCACGCTGCTCGGCATGTGCCAGCAATATGTAGACGTGCTTCGCGTCGGGACGCACCTCCGTCACCGGAAGCTCCTCTGAGAGAGCAAGCTGATCGGAGGAATCAAAGGCATGCGGAGCAGGTCCTCCTTTTGTCCATTTGGATGAGGGTATGGGTCAAATTCAAACACCAGGGGACTGCGGGTTTTAGTCCTTGGCTCCATTTGCCCGGGTTCCATTTGGGGTACCCATGTTTGACCCACAGCAATGTGCCATCCTCAGAATTACCCGAGCCAAATTTGGCAGGGTTGAACCGGAAACCACCCCAAAATCCATGTTGAGAACCCCGCAATGTGGCCTCTGGAAGAGATCCTTCAGGACAACAGGTGGCCAAACTTGCTGAGAACACTCCGCGTATCTCCTTCCTTGACGTGGTCTTTTTGAGGCTGCGCGGAGCGAGGGTACACCACGCGTTTTTTGGTTTGAGGCTTTGAGGTTCGCCCAATGCAGAGAACACCCTACCTTTTTCGTTTGCTCACAAGCCATAGTCAAGCTTTTCCACCTACTGTGCTGAGGACGGGAACAACCTAATGTTCGGACATGTGTTCAGAACGGCTGGGAGAGAGTCACCGTGCCGCATATCAAAGTGGCGTCGCGTCTGTTGGTCGGTTTTGAGCGCATCTGAGATGGATTCCACTTCCCCCAAACCGTAGACTACCATGGGGAGAGAATCCCGTTCTGAAAATGACCAAACAAATGGCCGTATATTCCACTAACCCCATGGACATAGTGGTTTTGGGGTTGTGAAAATCATCCCTTTGCCGTAGGGGTTGAACAGGACTCCTTAAACCATACATCCCAAAACCACCTGCCTTAGATTGAGATCCTCTACTCAGCGGGTAAAGGTGATGACTTTGTTAGTTGGACCAAATTATGCCCAAAGCAAAGCCGTTTTGAAGGTCTTCTGAAACCAGTTGAAAGAAGCATGAGTTGGCGTCGCTCCTCCTCATGATGCCGTTCCAGGTCTTCCAGGGCATTTACCAACTCCTGACGAAGAATGGCGGGTAGCAATCAGTTAGCACATGAGAGTGTCTTAAAATAGGGGACCCCCCAAAACATGAGTTTCCTTTTTGTTTACCGCAGAAACGGTACCTTCCGAAAGACAGACCCACATGAAGCCCCAATTTCGCACCCTCTCATTTCGTTTGTGTGCCAACTGTGCCGTATGCTAAGTGGTTGTTTCTCATTCCTCAACATAGGGAGAAGTAGTTGCCAATACAGTGACCCCTGTGTATTAGCAAGGCGCTTTGCCAGCCAAATTTCCCTCTAGGAACCCTCTCTCAGGTTCCATGTCTGTTCTGAGGAGGGAGAGTGTTTCGCAAAAAGGCCAGCCACAGCAAGCAAGCGGGAGGGTTTCCCTCTGCCCTTGGCTGAGTCCTGCAGTTACCGTCAACAAAAGTGTTTATACTATCCACCTGGACATAGGTGTCCTTTTTGGGAAAATAGATGGCCCTGGTAGTTGATTGAGCCACCAGGTAAACCAGGAATCGCCCTCTATTTTTCAACCAAATCAACAAGGACACCTATGCTGGACATTCCCCCGAACATGGCTCCAGGAAAATGTCCTTTGGCAATTTGGCTCTGGAAAATTTGTGTTTGGAAGCCCAAGGAGGCCTGTGACCCTAAAATTGCCGCCAAGCTGCATCCACTTTCGGCTCTGGCGGTACAGACTCGGGCACATTCTCAGGCTGCGCCTCAAACAAAACGAGAAAACGAACACGCAAGCTGAGCGGCTCTTTTACAAGAACGGCGTGGCAAACATCAAAACGCACAGAACGATATGAGGTAGTTTGGCCCAGACCTCCAGTGGATGTCCAATGGGTAAAAGGCGGTACACTTGTTTTGGCGTAGCAGATGTTTGAGGGAACTCCCTCCCAAAAACAGGCAAACGAAAACAGCACGATCCCTTTTTGTTGGTCCGATTTTGAAGGGAGAGCCCCTTCAAAAACAAACAAACGGAGAAAGAAAAACAAACTCTGGATCCAATTACCTCTATGGGTAAGCAGGAGCCACCCGTTGAAAACCAGCAAATCGCTGGCTACCATGGGTAACTGCCGCACCTCTGCGCTCGGGGCAAGGCCCGGCGTCGTAGCCACAAGGTCCTGGCGCAAATTCGTGACAGGAAGGGGAAGGGAAACCACAAGGCACCCAAAAAAAGCGCTTCCTAGTAGACATGATTTTTACCCTTCCAACAGCCGACCAAAGATGTTTTTTACCACTTCCAACAGCCGACCAGCTTCCTAGAAATGATGTTTACCCTTCCACCAGCCGACCAAAGGTAGCTTCCTAGTAGACATGATTTTTACCCTTCCAACAGCCGACCAAAGGTAGCTTCCTAGTAGACATGACTTTTATCCTTCCAAGAGCCGCCAAAGGTAGCTTCCTAGTAGACATGATTTTTACCCTTCCAACAGCCGACCAAAGGTAGCTTCCTAGTAGACATGACTTTTACCCTTCCAACATGATTGTTGTCAACCATAGCTCGATTGAACAAATGCTGTTCCCCCCTGACGTTTTATTGTTTTTTTTTGGAAACATAAATGGAAAGAAGGGGCGCGTGTGTTGACTTGGTTTGAGCCACTCAGCAGTGGTCCCGGCTCTCCAATAGATCCGAAAAGTCGCAAAGGCTCAGCTTCCCCTCCCCCCCAAATTGGTGGTTTGGATTGATGCTTTGATGGTTAGGGGTGGTTCCCCACTTACCCCTTACGAAAGCCAGGCATGCGAATCTAAATCCAATCCAAGCCACCTGGGGGATCCTGACTTTGGCCTGTAGCAAATTCAGGCCTACTGGATGGTCAAAGATTCAATAGCTGGATAAACTGCTTGCCACTCACACAGCTCGTGTCTGATATGATAGGCTCGCAATGGGGAGAGCAAGCTGCGAGCTGCCCATTGCAAAGGGATCTGGACGCCTCTTTGAGGCGCTTTGAAGCTGCCGTAATAGCCGCAAAACCCGAAAATAACCCTTGTGCTATCAACGTGCTTGATTGTTGATTGCCTCCGTCCCTTGGCATTGGCCCAGAAACCTAGTTCTTCACAACTAAGCCGCGTCGCCTAGAGCGCCTCACAAGGTGCGTTAAGGCTATTGGGGGGGGCAAACTCAAGGGCAAAATCTGAATTGCCGCAGATCTTTCCAGAGATCCTTTCCCAGGACTGTCTTGCAACGACACCCAGATTTGAGCACATGTTGCACGTGAAGCCCTTCCAATGTGCTAGGAGACATGGTTGCAAGGCTGCAGACATTGGGATTTGATGCTGAATATGTCCTGGCAGTTGTTGGGCAACCTCTCGGAGTAGGTCAGCTTTTCTGGGAGAGGGTATCCCCGAACAGCCGAGCATTTTCCAGCCTTCAACTTCCAGGCCCAAAAGTGCGAAAAAAAATCATCGAGGCTGCCAAACCCTTAGAATGGGTCGAACCAAACGGTCGATCAGTTTACCGGCTCTTTGAGAGTTTTCTTAGAATTAAACAGTCCAGTTGAGTCACAATCAAAACCTGGTATCAACATGGTCGACCCAGAACCATGTAAAGAACTAAGAAGGCGGATATCCGCAACTATTTCTGGCTGGGACTGCCCCTCACCAAGCTTCATCTACCCAGGTTTTGATTGTGGCTCAGTTGTTCTTCAGCAAGTTGTTTGGAATTCCGGGTTCGTTTTCCCATCAGCCGATCCTTCAGGGCGCAGCGAACCAGGCCCAAGCGCGCGCGGAAGGCGTTGTCTCCCCGGGGATCTGCCGAGATCGTGCCCCCCCGGACCCCCCCCGCGAGTTTTGCCAAGAGGGGAATAGAACATAGTTTTTGGTCCCCCTGAGTTTTTCGTGGCCCTCGGAGAAATTGGGTTTGAAGTGGCGCGGAAGTTTATGTGCTTGTCCCAGCGTTTTCCCACAAGGATTTGGGGAAATTGGGGCCGATCTGCCTTGCTTCTTTTTGCCAAAATTGATGAATTAGGGATGGGGATATGGGCGAATTAAGCAGTGCCCAAAACCGCCGGAAGAAATTTACGTAGGCCTTACTCTATTCCGTGCCACGCCTAGTAGAACCATCTGCCTACTAAAATGGCCCGAGAATGGGCGTTTGGGCGCTCAATCTCTGGTCTCAAGCTGAACATTCCTTCCACTCCCCATAGGCTGGGTAGAAACTGTCCGTGGCTGAAGCTGTACAGGGAACATAGTAAACCCCACCTCATGAAAGGACCATGTGTTATTGTTTTAGCCCATCTGTGTGGCCCTGTGGTCAACCGCGAACATTGTCACTGGATTCCCAGTCAGTCACTTGGGCAGGTTTTCAGGGAAACGACCGCTGTTGGACTTGCTGGCCTTCCAAGGCTCGCCGGAACAGTGCTGAAGCCGCCGCACCTCGGAATGAAAACCGAGAACGCCCATGAAAAAACCCAAGGCGGGGTCCAGGGCCCAGTGCCGCGAAACAAGTGGCTCTTGGGGTGCCAGGTTGCGGCTTAAGCCAATGGCCAATGGTGTCCAGGAATCGCGAAAATTGCCGATAACCCGGTTAATCTTAGATAACCATGTGTAAAACCTGTAGTGTAGATACTTGCCAGGCCTTTGCTGCGTACTCTTTCTGAGGGCGGAAACCAGCGCTTCTGTTTGGGACTATCCCTAAAACATATATGAACAGCGCCCGGAACCCGTTGACTTTGAGTCTTACTGAAATGATCATGAATGTGTGCAGAATCCCCACTATGGCCAGAAGGTAGTGGACCCGCCTACAGCGGCCAACCGAGGTGTGGGGCGTTGCCCGGGCCTACCCAGATTCCGATTGTAGCTCGGGTGATGAGGATGTAAGAACTTTCATTCGCTATGTGCGAGAAAGGCAAGGTGGCGAACAACCTCCTGAGGAAAAGCATGTTGTTAGCGATGTTGCCCAAGCAGTCAACAATGTGTATATGTATGTGTATATATATATATGTGTGTGTTTGCGCCGGAAATGCCATGGTGGCGGGAAAAGTCTCTTTTGCGAACCTTGTGAGACTCCATCGCCCCTCCCGTTTGTTTCCAGCGCTCGCTCTGGAGCCACTGTTGCTACTGCAGTCACGCTTGCGAGCCCAGTAACCATGGCAGGCTTGCAGCAGAGTGAAGTGAAAGCTGGGCCCAATACGCGGGACCTTGCAACAAGCTCACCTTTTGCCGGCCTTTCGCAGATCTTGCGCGAAACTTGCTCCAAAATCGCCCGGCCAACGTTTTGCTTTGCACCCCATTCCCAGCACAAGCAAAAAATCAGGGACGCAAGTACTGCGCATCTCCCTCTCTACAAGGGAGTCGGGTATGTGAAAGCATGCCTCCGCAAAGCTGTTGCTTAATATTTCGCGAAAACAGAAGTCTCTTTCGCAAACTCCTTCGCGGACCTTTCGCGGGCACGATCGCCTGCAGTGCTATGGTCCTTCACAGTATAAGTTCTTACAAGGACCCTTTGATCATGTATATATATATATACACATTAGTATGTGTGTGTGTGTGGCATGGCAAGGTCAAGATGCGTGGCGACCCTCAATGGCACGCCTGCAATGCCTGGGGGCCTTGCGACAATTCATCATTTGATCTGCACGCCTATCTGCCCCCCTCCTGCCCCGCTCGCATTACGCCTCTCGCTGGACATATGGAGATGTGTCAAAATCGGGGGGGGACCCCAAAAATGTGGCTTCCCTGTTCTTCCCTGAAAACCCCAAGCTAAGAAGGCACGCCGAGCCTCAAGAAACCGACAAGGGACCCAAGACATCATCCGGGAGTCCGGGCCATTGCTTTCGAGCAAATACTCCGCCGCCGGCAGGGCCTCTTTGGGCTCTGCCTCCTGACGGCTCAAGACGCGGAGGCCGATCAACCTGTATGTATGATTATTTTTTTACGGGGTATCCTTTGTCCCACCTGGTGCAGTGTGTTGTCCACCGCAGTGGGAATCGGTAGTGTTAAATGCATTGCAAACGGTCAACGAAGGATCTGTAAGGCCTAGAGAGTAAAATCAGAGATGAGAACTCAGATAAGAATCCTGAAAAGACTATCTAGCACGCCTGGAGGCAGCGAGTTTGGCAATCACTCGGGGGTTCATTGCAGTCTCAAAGACTTCATGTATGCACTTTCTCCATATGGGCAAAAGTTGGCAGAAACTCCGTACCTAAATGGATAATGGTGACCCCGGATGAATAAAACCCTGCTTATTAATATGGGGGTGGTCCCCTCCAAAAGTGCTAAAACCAGGCACACCCCCATATTAATAAACAGGGGTTTATTCATCCGGGGTCAACATTAGTGTGGGAGCTAGTGGTCGGCGAGTTGGTGCTATATGCTCTCTAGGCCAGGCAATGGAACCAGAGCGGGCAAGAGACTTGCGCTACCTGCCAGACCCCTGCATTTGTTGTCTCACGGAAACCAGACAACTTGATTTTTAGACATAAACGAATCGTTTTCGAGGGAGTCCCTTCAGAGGAGGATTTGGGAGGAGTCAGCGAGAATCAGACATGCTGCTGCGCAGAATGGGCATTGTGGATTCCGCAATGGTTGGCGTTGCTAGTTTTAACAGAGAATACAAGTTACCCATATATCCCGGTTCGTTCTGCTTCACATTCCCACATGGCAAAAAGACATGGATATAGCCACCAGGAAGCATGTGCCAATCAATGCACACTTGAAAACCACAGCTTGAAGGAAACAGTGAGTGTATTCAGCTCTACCATATCCCAACAACGACCATCTTCGGCACTCTCCTGAGGGTTCAAGTAGGGCTTTGCAGCCGCCAGCATTCTCTCCAGATCCTGCGAAACAATCGCCGACTCTTGCTTGGACCACGTTGTCCATCCGCTTTGGCCTCCATCACAGGCACCAGAAGACTGTCACCACAAGAATGAACATGTCAATCCAGTGGGACATTTGTCGGGGTGCAACGAATGATCAAGTTAAGGATTTTCGGTCTGGCGAGGTCATGGTTGCGGGAAATGACAGGCCTCATTATGTTATCATTGTGCAAGTCAACTCCAAATGCCTGATTGGTAGGCGAAAAGGAATTAACACCAGTTTCTGACGTTGATAGCTCTCAGAAACAGTCAAAATAATGAGACCAGAGTAACCCTTTCTGTGATACCAAGGTGGGATTCCCGTCGTGACTGGCATTCCCTAGCCATAAACTGATTCTACCATTCTATAACCCAGAATTCGCAACCAGGGGCAAGGTGCCCCATTTTTTGGACCAGGCCCTGGCCAGAGCTGTCCATTGATCCTTTTATTGGCATCCCCCTCGCCCCAAATCGGCTACAAAATCAACGTCTACCCATCTGCCACGCCCGACCAAAGAAGCTTTGTCATAGGGGCGATGCTTCATTGAAACTTCATTGCTAGTCTAAAGGACATAAGACAATTTGCGACTTCCCTGATCTCTGTGTGTTCTTTCCGGACAGCCAAAAACACATCAACGAAACCTGAATAAGCCCAGGTGACATCCCTAAAAACTGCCCCGAGCCACCCCAAGGCCTATCTGGGGAAAGACCATAACCATAGCTTCCAGCGGTTTGGGAAAACAACTATGGTTGAAAAGAATGAGAGACATCTCGCGTCCGGAAAATCGGCGGTATACCTGACAGGTGCCAACTTGGAGGAGCTGCTGCTTTTGTAGTGAGACAGCTTCTGAATTGCGATTTGGATGGCGCAATTCCCTGCAAGGTGGCTAAACCAATATGTGTTGAATTCTGGCATCTGCTTTCACCCAACTGCAGGGTTTCAGACCTGCTGGCTGTTTCCTAACGGTCGCTCTGCGCCTCAAGAGGTACTTTACCCCTTACACCAAACAACCATCATCCAAGGGTACTTGGAATGGACCCTCAGGGTGTTAACTTGCGGGTGTTCCTACCTTGTCTGTGTGTGTTTTTTGTAAGGCACCCTTTTCGGCGCGTGTTCTATTTCCCGAGAAGTAACGGGAAGCCCGGGTGCTGGGAGCCAAGCCAGGGGCGTCTGTTGCTCGGCTCCCCCCGTCCTGCAGATCCGCGGCATCCGCGCGGGCCTCCACACGGCCCTGCCGCAGGAGCAGCAGCGTGGGCACGCCCTCAGCTCGGAGCGAGGGGTTTACTCGGAGCAAAAGCGACCCGTCCCCCACAAGTTGGGCACGACTGTAACTATGCAGCGAGCCACATGGGTCAAAAGCCCCTACCAGTGAACATCCGATGAAAATCCAACCACTAAAATAGGCTCTAAAATGGGGGGTGAATTCACCTACCCCAACATGGGATCCCATTGGTTTTGACCCACAGCCACATGGTTGGGCCGGATTCCGGATTGGAAACATAATTATCAAGTTGGGCGAAAACCTGTGAATCTCAGGCGACACAGCGTTCTATGCTCTCCTTTCGGGAGATTCTGTGGTAGATTCACTTGCTGCTTGCATGCGGTGATCGCTGGAGAATGACAAATCAAAATTGCTGCTGTCAATTCTCCCCGCCGCATAAGGGCAGTGCCAGTGACATCCTCTCTTGTTGGGTGGTTCATGATCCGGAATCTTCTCGAAGAATTCAATAGCTGATTAAGAATAGCTTCAGCAACTTCACGAACCGGATTCGGCACGAAGCTCGCAAACATACGAAGCGCGCAAAAACAAATCGGCGTTTCGCCATCAAAATGAAGGGTCCGCTTCGCCTGACGCCTGTCAAGGAGGGCTTCCACGAGCCTTCCAAGATTGGGACCTTGGGATTCCGGAAGAATCAAGGGGCACTTTGCAAGCCCCAAAAAGGGAAGTTCGAGTGGTGGTTCCTTGAAATGCAGATTGCTTGCTTCGAGGCCCAAGCCAACTTGCCGGTTCTGCGTGGTCACACCATTCCACTTCATCCGCTCATTTTTGATCTGTGGCTACAGTTGGAGATCTGGGTGCAAGCAACGGTTCGGACCCTTTCTTTTGGCTTCCTGTACACAGACTAAAGTCGTAGTTGCAGGTGCTGAACCAGACTCCACTTTCATGAAAGGGGTCCCTTTTGTGCTTGCACGACATGATGCAGCACCGGGTTCCGCGGCGCTTGTCTCCTTTCTTTTTGCCTGTGGCCATTCTGGGCCTAATTACTCAGTGGCTTGTGCCCTTCGCAAGAGAAGTGTGGGAAAACATGCATTTCCAAAAAAACACATCGTTTAAGGTGAACCATCTCGACAAAAATGGTTCCTCAAAAGATACATGTTGGCCAGATAGAAACCACCAAACCCGATGCTTCAAAGAGTTGTTTAATTACATGTGCCGGGTGAGTCTTATGTTCTTAGGGGCTTTTTTTTTAGAGACCCAGAAAAAACAGCCAAGATCTTGCCCGATTTTTGTCCGACTCGCCTTGATGTGACGCGTCCGGATGGTCTCCGGCGCAGTGTCCACATCCAGCTGATGGCACAGCAGCTTGGACCCAGCAGCCCACTCCGCCAGGGCACTGCCCACGCGCTGGCTGCCTCGCGTCGCTGGGGCTGGCACGCGCGTGCCACCGCGCGGCCGAAGGCCCGAAGGCCCCGCAAGACCGACGCGTGCGATTTGGACCCCAAAGACAATTCATCAGGGGGTCGGACAAAATAGAACTCAAGGAGACTTTCCAGTGATTGCTAGATTTCTAGATGGTCCTCCCGTAGGAAACCAAGCAGGACAAACCCTGCTGCCTTTGCATTCGGGATGCACTCTCAGCGCCAGTATTGAAACGTCTTCTCATGCAGAGCCAATGTGGACGTGCTTTGTTCGAGGTACGTGTTGCAGAGATTGTGCAATGTGGGTGTGTTTTTGATGCTGCCCTTTTCACCTTTGTTGGACAGGGAAGCCCAAAGACACGCCGCCGTTTGCAGGGTCCCGCGATTTTGACACATGCCTTGACTCGGCCGCACAACTTGATCCGCAACCTGGAGGGGACCTCTCCGGAACCAAAGAACCCGAAGCCAGGCCGCCCAGGATGGGTCTGACAAAAGCGCGGTCCGTGCCAGGCCAACTGGATCGCCCCACCAAGGCCCTCCTTTCCCATGCTAAGGCCCCAGCATTAGCTTAAACCTCATGATTGGCAACAGCTCCCTACGTGTGAAATGGAGACCACATCACACGACTACGACGGAGTTTGTCGTCCTGAACGTGTTGTTGTTTTGTCGTGAGTTGATCGCCTCCTTGCCACGCCACCCCACCCCCACCATCACCACAGCCACCCTTCCCAAGTTAAGGTTCATTACATTTCAAGGGGGTTCAAAGACCACCCACCCCACCCACCCACCCGCCCGCCCGCCCGCCCGCCCGCCCGCCCGCCGCCCGCCCGCCCGCCCACCCGCCCGCCCACCCACCCACCCGCCCGCCCACCCACCCACCCACCCACTCGCCCACTTGCCCGCCAACCCTACATGAGGTCTCTCGCCAAGAAGCGCTGGCTCCAGGCGGCGCCGCAATGCAACAGCAGCGGCGCAGCATCTTTGGACAACTCCTCGCGGAGTTGTGATTCCCCTCCTTTGGCTCAGGTTGGTTGGGTTTGGTCAAACTTTAGTTGGTTTTACATTGGTGTTTATTTGTTGATGCTGGTTGACGTTAGATGGCTTGGGCTAGTGTTGGTTGAGTTTGGTTGTTTTGGTGGTTTGAAAGGAACACCACCCAAAACACACTGAACAACGGCGACACCGGCGATTCACCTTATTTCAAACCATAGCTTAACCCCCCCTTTGTTTATCCCTTTTAAAGGGGAGGTTGAAGCCTTCCCCATGTTAGAAGGGTAGTTTGGGGTACCTTCCATACATTACTTGGGTGGTAGGGATAGTATTGTTTTGAACAACCCCATGGTGGCTTCCCTTTAAAGGGGACCAGAGCCTAATGAAACGCAACCTGCCAAACCTTAATGTCGGATTGTCAGTCACACTCTGCGTCCCGAATACTGGCAAGGTCACATGTGCCGTGGTCAAGTTGCAAGGAATCATTGTCATGGTTCCTTACCCAAGCACCAATGGACCCTCCATTGAAGGCCTCCATTTGAAGTTTTCGGACCTCAACAAATGCCTTTTTGGGGGCCAAGATGCTTAGGATTGCTTAGGATAGGAGGAACCCTTACTTTGGTCAAACAAATACAAAGGGCTGGTAACTAAATCTACCAAGCCAAGGTGTGTTTCATCCATCGCAGGGATTCTCAACGCCATCTTCTCGCCTTCAGCTTCTGGTCAGTGATCATCTGCAGTTCTGCTGAAGCCTCATGAGCAAGCGTCATGCTCGTTCCGGGAGTCCCGGATAAACACCCTTGGACTGCTTGCTGTCTTGGCGAAGCACAGCCAGCTCCTTCCTGCTTCAGCTTTACTTGAGGGTCTAGCGGGTCAAAGCTGTTGCTTCTCAAAACGAGCTGGTGATTGTGTTTGCATCTCCTCCCCAGGCTGATCGTGTAAAGAGTCAGGCATTCAAGGTTTACATACTGATCCTTCGGACTTGAGCTGACGACTGGGGAAGCCTTGCAAAATCAAGACCCCGGCTCAGCTGATTGGGGCACGCGTTTGCATCCCCATGGCTACTCATTCGCTGGCCCCAAAGTAGGGTACAGTGTACGGTGCGAATCCCTACTGTTGGCATAGTTAGGTCTAGATTTTCTGCAAAGCGGGGCCGCTTCCTGTTTACAAATTCAATCTTGGCTATTAGTCTCTGTAGGGCAGCGCTCCCATGACCCCATGTCCGATCCCATAGCCCACAGCTTGACAAACGTTCGGTTGGCAAATGGCAACGTCGACCGTTCGGTTGGCCAACTCAGCAGGCGAAAGTCTCTGAGTCTCCGGACAAAGCTGCGTGCCCGGACCTTGACGCTGCTTGCGCTGGGCGGTGTGATCTCTCAAGACGGGTTGTTTCCATTGGGTTTGCCTGCCTTTCAAACAACTCCAAAAAGGGCAATTAGAAGGTATGGCACATTTTGAGAGTCGCGTGTGTTCCCCTATGTTTGAGACAAACCAAAACATGCATAAACTGGCGAGTCCCTTAGCTTTTGTGGCTGAAATGTCAAGAGTCCGCCGTGTCCCTCACAAGACCATACTCACAAGACCATAGACAATCCCTGCCAAAATAGTCAGGAAAGGACATCCCTCAGCGCTAGGATTCCGGGTTTTCTTGAGGGTACCGTGCTTTCGGGTGGTTTTAAAGGGAAACCACAAGAAAACCACCATTTCTGGGGTCCTTTGTTTTGACTCATACCCATATCCAACACGTTGCTCCTTGACAGAAGAGCTCATCTACATCTTTTAAGCTTTCGAATTTGTTCCGATGGTCCCAAGCTAAGGGCTTGTGGGAAAGATGCGTATGTTCACTTTGCGTTGCACCAGAAACCCGTCGTCCAACAAAAAGCTGGACTCTAGCGTACTTGAACTGATTCTTGGGAAATTTCACAGTCGCCGGCATACCTAAGAATGTCATGTTCAGAGCTGTGACTCCAAGTCGTCTCACATCCGACGAGTCGCAAGACAATGCATGGATTCCCATTGCAAGTCGATTGAATGCTCCCCGACAAATTCCATTTCCAAAACAAAAAGGAGGTCGATTTCCAAAACAAACGGATTCTTCTAAACACTGCAAATGTTATGCAGTTCCATGTTGGCCAGCAAAGGAGCTTGAAACCAATGACTGGCGAGCATCAGTGGCTGAAAAGTTGCCCATGGGCCCAATACAGGTACTAGCTCTACAAACACATGCCCAATCCAGCCAGTGCACAGTGCCTGTTGCCTAAATTCAAGCAAGCTGGCAAAATGCCTGTTCAGCCGCTGAGGGTGACTTCCAGCCATCCAGCGATCCTTTCCAGAACAGGGATCCTTACATTATACACCTGAACATTGCCTTGTAAATCCTGGCTTCCCTTTATTTTGGTGGAAAAAACAACATGTTTCAAATGGGCAAAATGTATCTTTTAAGGAGCCCTGCAGAAATGCGCCTAAAACCCTGGCATCCACGGCCCAAATGGTGATGTTCAAAGCATTTTTGTTTTAGGGGGGAATATAGAGAACAACTTGTGGATGCCAAGAAAGTTGACGAACGCTTTTCGCGTGCCCATGCCGATCACAGCACTCACGGCAAGAACCCCAGACTGAGAGCCTTGCCCGAAAGGCCATTGCGGCCATAGCTCTGCCATGGGCAGACATTTTCTTATTGGAAATGTCCAGGGGAAGCCCAACAAAAAATGCCCATTTATTTGTCTATGTTGTTTCAAACAACAATGCGGGGACTAAAGACTTTCATGTGTTTGTGAGTGTTTGTGTGTCTGTCTTCGGGTTGCGCGAGGGTGTGAGTGTTTTGCCGGTGTGTGTGTGTGAGGTTGTGTGTGTGTGTGCACATCCTTGTCTGGGATGCATCAAGGTCGCCAAACTGCAAGCCCATACACAGCGGTCTGGCTGCATGCCCCAAAAAGCGGGAGAAAAAAAAGGAGAAAAAAAACGATTCGATCTGGCGAGAACGAGGTACCTGGGCCTGCACCTACACCGCCGAAGATTGAATAGGGCATCGGGAAAAATGAGGGAAACATGCCCATTCTTGGTCTTCCTGTGGGGAAAACAAAACCATGGGCTAAATAGTTCGCACTCAGTCCATGCAAAGGACGCACCTTGCTCCACCCGCTTGGTCCAAGCAGTTCAGCCATGGGCGAGGTACTCTTCCCAAACTGGAAAGTAAATGATCTACCGCCAAAAGCCCTGCGCGAAACTGGAATTTATCTCTCAAGCAATACATATCCCTTTCGACCCTTTTGGTAGCTCAGTTCTCTGGACCTTGGGCCACCCTCCCCCAGGTCTCAACCTCCGTCGCTCCTCGCTCACCTCCAAGATGGGTGAGAGGCAGGCTCCAGTCGAGGAATCCTCGCCGGCGAGGCAGTCTGTGAGATTCGAGCGAGCGCGGCAACGCCCATCGACTTTTGGTTCTGCCAGGTGGTTAAGATATACACACGTGTGTTCTACATATGTATATATATATATATTTCCTTACTACATGTTGTTGTTTATATGAAACCAAGCACTCTTGGTTGCCCAAAGTCCAAAGGACCCAGAAGTACAAGATTAACCTTTTGGGGCCATGTCTAAAATTGGACCAAAATGGTTGACACCACAAGGTCAAAAGGTCGGTTCGCTTGGGAGAACTGAGAATTAGAACCACCTGAAATGGACAGTGGGCGCTGCTCAAATCAAAATCATGGGGAGTTATGTCCACAAACCATGTTTGGTCTGGTGTTGCAGCCATTACAACTCACAGCCACATCTTACCATGGATGGCAGAAGGGCCAACTATGCCCCCATCAAGTTGGCTGGGCGTGGTAAGCAACAGCCTTGTGAGAATTGCACTCGAAGCACTGCAGATGGCTGCCCAAGATCCACACAAACACACGAGGCCAGCCAGCTCACATCCACATCTCGGATGGATGCCTGTGTGTTTTCAGGGGAGGGGAAAGTAGATCCTCCCCAAACAAAAAGCATGGAACCTGAAAGGGACCCCTTGGAAGACCATGTTCGTCTATTCCTAAGCCGCATCGTAGTGAAGCCAGGCACCAAAGAGATCTGGGCCTCTGTGCATGCCTCGAAATACAAGCCTGGATTTTGCTCCTACCAACGACAACCCGACACGTTTAGCAAAATAGCGCCCAACAGAGTGATATGAGAGTCAGTTCACTTGTTGGAGGTTGTCTAATCTATGGAGCGCCAAACAAGGTATTGTGGATCGACAAAACTCTGCGTCAGTTGGCAAGCCACCCGCGTTCGGGCGTCATCCCACGTGCCAGATGTTGTCTATCGTAGGTCCAGGCGTTGCCCATGGGTGTGTTTTTGAGGGTACCCCTTTCAAGTTGGCAAGGGGCGCCAAAAGGAAACTGACCTGTTTTTGGTGCCCCCCTTCGAGACACCCGCAAAGGTTGCAAGGACCCGGAAACCCGACTCTGTTCGCAGCGCGCCTGGCTGAAGGAAACCGGGCGAGCGGCATGCCTTAAACGCCCCGGCAAGTCTTTCTCGCCGCCATGCCGGTGGATTTCGGAATCCGAGGATGCAGGCTCCGATGAAAAATCCGGGAATCACTTATATTCGATGGCCTGAAAAGGGGGACCACCCCTGAGCAGTCCGAGTCCTCCGAATTCCGAAGACATTTGTCAGACTTTGAGGCGGCGGCGCCTCGCTCCGCAGATCATTGTTCATCATCTTCTGGCCGTGGGAGAGCCATTTCGCCATTTTGAGCATACCCTATAAGAATTCCGGGGGGTGGCTCTAGAGCCCTTCGAGAAAAGATACAAAGACAAACTTTGCGCCACGCAACCAGTTTGGCACCTGTGGAGAAGCAAAATCCTGGCCCAGTTGAGATGCATGACACCCGAGAAAAATCGTGATAAACCACCGAGCGAGTGCAGCCAGATTTTGTCCATCCATCAACGAAATTACCTCTCCTCCTACAAACGGTTGGCCGCTGGAGGAAGGTACCTACAAAATAGAATCCGAATCGACCCTTTAGACCTCTCAAATGCCATGGCAATGTGGGAGGAAGGCGGTAGCTTGAAGGCATACAGCACGATTGGCTATCGCGAGGGTTGCTCCCATTCAACGCTGTCACAAGGGCTTAGACACTTGCCCTTGTGGTTCGGACATGAGGTTTGGAGCAATGAAGAAATATCGGCGGGCGGGGTTAATTGGCACAGCAACCTCTGCCTTCCAGAACAACAGCATGAGAAACCGGCGGCTGAAACGCATCTGAAGCTTCTGCGAATGTCAGCCTACTAGCCCAGAAATCCCATGGCAAACAAGTCCACGAAACATGCTCAAGCAAACTGCTTGCAGTTTTATCCTCCTTACATCTTCCCCCCTTCAAGTAAGACCAAACAGCTTTCTGTCAAGAACAGCAGCCGACCCCTATCAATGACCGCATTTTGTCTAAGATGGTTCCCCCCCCCCCGCAAGCAACAAAAAAACACATGAGGCTTATGCAGGGTACAACCGCTGTTTTTGGGGGTCCCTTTCTTGGCTTGGGGGAAGTGGCCTGGTCGCCGGGCCTCCTGCACCCAGTGAGTTACTGAGCTCAGGTGTGAAGTAACTGCCCCGACAGAGGCCTGGCGGATTGCCATCTGGCAAGGTCCATCCTGGAAGTTTCAACCCAGCGAGTTCTTTGGGTGCCTTCTGTCGAGGCTGGGTACCTTTTTTCAGCTTTCTGGGTTGAAATCCCACCATCCTGAAATTAGTGGTGTCTTGGGTCCTTAATTTTGAGCCACCCGGGTTGGCTGTTTGTTAGGGTTCCTGGTGCGTTTAAATATCTGAAAAATGACCAAAGCTTCAACTTGCCCTCTCTGCTTCGCGGGCCAAAACTGACGTGAAGAACGGAGTTACCGACCTGCTGCTTCGGACTACGCATGCTCTGCCAAAAGGATGTGTTGAAAGCAAGGGCCAAGCCTGGGACAATGAATGAACAATCGGACCGAAGTCGGGAAACCAGAAGGTGAAAAGTCGGCTGGACAACCTGCCAATCATCTTCTCCGCTCACAGCATGAGTTCGAGTTGGCCAAACCCATGTGATCCGCAAAATATGGGCCCCCTAAAATTGGCTTTCCTTAAAAACCGCCCAAAAAAACCGGCCCGCCATTTCGAGTTGCGCCAGACATTTCCAGCCTCCAGCTCACGCTGCAGTAGTTGGAACTGCTTCACCAACGCGTCGAAGTCCTGCTTGCGCTCGCAAGGCCGCTACTTGAAATGAACATGATACCAAGATGGGTATGGGTCAAAATTAAACCACCAGGGGACCGCTGGCAGGTTTTAGTCTTTGTTGCCTTTTACCAGGGTTCAATTCTGGGTTTACCCATTTTTGACCCACACCCAGATCCAGGCTAAGTGGGAGCCTTGGAGACGTTCGTCGGCCTGGAGGATGAAAACAGCCCCAAGTCCAGGGGCCCCAGGCTCAGTTCGGGCTTCCAGCCTGGTTGATCTACTGCTACGCTGAAGTCGGCCACTTAAATCAAATTAATACTTTTAAACCTATTGGTACCCGCTTTGTCAGGGGTCGATGCTTTGGGTGCCCCTAAATGGAGTTAAGCCCGGTTCTTTGTTGACTTGCTTGCGCCACCCCTGGGTGAAGGAGAACAAAAATGTTCCCCACGCACCCAAAACCAGAAAAAGCAAAACCAACAAACATAAACGGGGTACTTAGTGTGAGTTTAGAGCTCGCTGCGATGGACCAGCGAGAAAACCGCTCAAAGGTCCACCATCTTGAGACCTGTGGGGCTCTTTTTTTCGAGGGTACCCTTGTTTGGGATGGAAAGTGACCCCAAAGAGAAACTGGTGCTTCTTCTTGTGGAACTTTATTGAATAGCACTCGGATCCTAATCTGAGGGTCGATCCTGGCGCAGGGAAATCAAGGAGTCTTCCATCGACTCGGAGCCCTGGCCAAGGGCCGGGCCGCAGTCTGGGCAACTCTACGATTTTCGTGTTGCCTTCGACTTGCCTTCGACTTCAGAAATTCGAAATTTTGCTCAAAGACTTGAAATCCAACAGATAGACAAAAGTTTGCGCCGGGTAGGGATTCATCCTTCCCAACAGGCGGTAGATGTTTGTCTTTTCCACAGACTCCGCAGACCAACCAGCCCAAAAGAGGGAAAGTAATTGTTTGTCTTGGGAGGGCGAACGAACAAAATGGGAAACCTTGGGTTAGGTCCTTGGGGTAACGAATTAAAAAGGGGGAAAATGCCAGGGTTTGCGTCCTTTGGGGGAGAACAAGAAGGCCCGGGACTGTCCAAGCTCACTGCCGATCCTCACTTCTGTCACTTCCGAACCCAAACACCATCCTGAAAGGCTCCTTCAACAAGCTGCAGAACGCAAGGAACCCAAAAACAAACTAATTTTCCGCACATGCTTGTTTAGAGACACCCTTGTTTGAGTTCCACATTCATTTGCCGGGGGTTTGGCCTTTATCATGGAAGTGAACTTGACAGGAGGGCTTTGGAAGGCGGAAGTTGGCCCAAACAACCCGATGTGTCACTCTTGTTTCAGTCGCAGGTCGGGACCAGGTCGGGCGTGACGGTCGGGCGTGACACTCTCCAACAGTGTGTCTGAATGTTGGTTCACGGTAGCACGGGAAAAGCATGGAGAAGCTGGCCAACAAGTCGCGACGGAAGGCTTGGATTTGCTGCGGCCAGAAGTCTATGACGCCGTCTATTTGAGGAAATGCCGCCTAAGCAAGCAGAAGCAGCTTCCCAGCCAAACTTGTCAAGCGGGTCATTGGCGCGACGATGCAGTCACCACATGGAATCAAGTTTCCAGGTGCCGTTTTGCAAGCTCAATGACGGCCTCGCCCCAATGGCGCCCTGCCATTGGCATATCAAAGCGACTCCGCAAGCGTTCTGTCCGCCATGATCCTTGCCCGCAAGATGCTCTGGTAAGGAGTCGACGCATAAAGTAACTGGGTCAGTCTGCTGGCAGCAAAGCTTCAAAGCGCTTCCTCTCATGGTTGGGCGACGCCAGACAAATGATTGCCACAAACATATATGATAGGAGGTTTGACGACTTGACGTGCCAAAAAGCAGGCCAACTCACGAAAAGCGCAACCAGTCAAAGCATCTCCTGGGAGATGGGCGGGCCGTGCGCCTTTTTCTAGCCTCCCCTGCCCCAATTGCATTTCTGACGCCACCAAATAACCTCCAATAAAGACAAACAGGTGGCTACATCATATTATTTCCTTATCTTTCCATTTCTCCATTCTATGCTGTAGGAACTTGAAGTAGGAGGGAGTCGTCTCTTATCGTTTATTGCTATCCCATTCTGGATGGGGCAAAAGGGCGTGAACTTCCCTGACAACAAAAACCCAATGAAAATAAAAGCATTTTAATAATTATTACGACTTAAAAGCATTGAATTAACGGCTGACATGAAAGATCCTATAGCCACATACTTCATTCCCTTCCTTCCTGTCCTTCCTATCAACTAGGTATCGCAAAACAAACAAACAAACAAACAAACAAACAAACAAACAAGCAAACAAACAATGGGTTGATGTTGGATTACCCCCCTTCCTGTGCTCTGCAATGCGATGCACTTGCTGAAGCTGCGCATCGCTGTGGGGAAACTGCCCAGGCCCGCCAACGCCGCATTCCAGACGAAAAGAGTGCAAGTCCTTGGCCAGGCAAAATGAAGCCAACCCCGGGCCGCCCGGGGCCAACCCCCCCCCAGCAGCCACTTGTCATGGCACTCCATTCATCTGGGGCCAACCCCCCCGTGGGGAAATGAAGGGAACCCAAACAAGAAGCCCCAACAAAATGCCCCGGTATACCATGTATCTTCCCTTCCAACACCCACCAAAAGAGCGAACAAGCTAGTTTTAAGTCTGGCCATGATTCATTGAAGATTGCCACCGCCTCATCGGCTGAGACGCCTGACAGTAAGCACAGCAGCAAACAGCCGACGATGCCGGTTCCTTGGCGTTGGCTCAAGGTCTGGATTTGGTCTCCCTATGTTTCCTCTTTCAATTTAAAGTGCATGAGTTTCCTGATGTTCAAAGGAAAAATATAGGCAGCCCTCATACCTTCCGATTCCTCCATGATGCAGTTGGGAGTTCCATGTTCATCTGGAGAGTGGTTGCGGTTGTGCCTTCAGTGCACTCAAAACATGCACCCTTTGTTCCACATGCATAGGACATGTGTGAGGATACCTCGAAGATTCATTGCGTGACAATGATCACCTGGCAGTAGAGTGGTCTAGGCAAGCCACGTAAAGAATCCAGAGGGCGGATATCCGCACCCATTTCTGGCTGGGACTGTCCCCAAGCCTTCATCTACCCGAATCGATTTTGAGCCGGTGGCTCAACTTCTTGTTGAAGGGAACCCCTGTCAGCAACGCAGAAGGGCGGCTCCCCAATTTTGCGCAGGGGCTCTTTGGGCTGCGGATAAAGTCAGAGCGGAAATCATGGTTCCGTGTCTAGGTCAGGGCTCCCTATATTTCTCCCTTTGGTGGTTTTCAACATCAGCTGTTGGGCCAGTTTAGAGTTGGTTCCTTTTGGGAGATAGATGTTCAAAGATGTTCAAAGAGACATATAGGGAACCCTGTCTGTGCGTCTGTGCGTGTGTGCCTGGGGGTGGGCGTGTGCGTGCGCGTGTGAGCGTGTGCGCGCACGTGCACGTCAAATGCGCGTGGGCAATAATCTGGCCAAACGGGAAACCTCAGAGATTCATTTTTCACTGGCCCCGTGAGATTTGAATCAACAAAGGGGGATTCAAAAAGACCCCTCAGCCCCTCCCGGTCCCTTTGCATTCAAGGCTCGTCCGTGGCCACCGTAGCAGTGCACGTAGATCCTTCGCCCGGACCGCAGCTCTAAAAGCAACTGCTGCAGCAGCTGCATCACCAGCTCGTCCGAGCAAGTTCCGCCATCCACCATGGGGCACCTTGCAGAAAAAGCAACGGCAAAGAAACAGAACACCAACAAAACCACCAAATGTGATTTGTGTGTGTCCTAACATGAAGCGACAACTGTTTGCTGGTTAGGGAAAATGGTGAAGAAACCACTAAAGGCATGCCTGCAACGCCCCTCCCGCAGATCAACAGGAAACCGAAACACCACCCAGTTTAACAGGAACTGATTCCCGTTCTGGGAATCGGGCTTAACCCCAAGGTCACAAATGTTGGGAAAGGAATCGCTGTGTGGATAATGGACCGACTCCTTCTGGCTGCAGAACCTCCTGTAGATGGCTTGTATGAAAAGTGAGACTCCAAGCGTTCCGAGTCAAAAGGGGAAGGGGGCGTATTGTCAGCTCCGGATAAATGAGGAGCATTCTCATCAGGAGTGGTGCTCTGATAAGCTCGGATTTATTCCATAGGGGGATTCCTTGAATTTGTATGCCTTTTGTGGATTAATCTGAAGTTGGCATTAGGAAATCGCTATGTGCTTCGACACGATAGACTTCTAAAGATGTGTTGCCTTCTGGTTCCCTTGAAAACAGTCCGCGACTTTCCACCAAAAACCATCTGGGAACGTCTGAAACCTTAAAAAAAAGTGGCCTTCCTTTCGGCTTCCGCCCAAAAACACAAAGCCTAAGATCGCCTCGAAAGAACGCAAAGAGCCCGAGGAGCTGCAGAAAGCGGAGCTCGCGGCCACCTCGCCGGGCTCGCCGGCGCGGCACGCCCAGGAGTTCCGCGTGCTTGGCCTCTGCGAGGGCACGGAAGCTGGAGTAGCAGTACTGCTTCCCACGGATCCTCAGCTACTTCCATGACAGGGTCCCAAACATAGGTGTCCTTCTTGGGAAGATAGATGGGTGTCCCTGGTCAATGGAATAAAAACAAGCCTAAACCAGGGCCATCTATTTCTGACCCAAATAGCCTAAAAGGACACCTATGGTCCCAAGTAGTGGCGCTCGCGGGGAAAGAGGGAACCCGTTTTTGGTTCCCCTCTCGAGACAAACAAAAAAGATGACAAAGCGGCACCGACGGTCTGCAACACGTCTTCGTGTTTGAACGTTGAAGGCCAAAAACACGTGTCATCATTGGCAAAGGATCAGCCATGTTGCTCAAAGACTGCCACACGCCACAACCTGAAAGTAGTTTCTTGGGCTCAAACAAGCGCAGAATGCAGCCCCAGCAGCTCATCTTTCTGCGTGAGGGAGACAAAGGTCAGCACGCCTGCCTCCAGGATGCTGGACAACTTCGCCAGGCCTGCCGGGCGCTCGGATTGAGCTTTCATGTTGTTGAACAAGATCGGCAATGTGCAAAGAATGAATTTATGTGAACCCATGATTTTCTGATTTAACCCCCAGCTTGTTGGCCAATTAACTCTTTCTCGTGGCATTCTGGGAAGTCAAACCAGTCGGTGAGAAGGGTGCATGTTGCTTATGTCTTTGCTCCTGCCCATCCTTGTTTTCGGGATTCAATGGGAATCCGCACGGCTGTCTAAAGCCCTGGCGACTATCCCTACCAACCCCAAGTAAAGGGGGTCGTTTGACCACGGCACCTATCGCCTGGCTTTATTATTTATTTGACGGACGTGTTCAGAATGTGGGTAAAGCCTCAGATCTTCAGTACCAACCCGCAAGTAGCTATATACATACATGCATATATACATATATACATATGTGTATATATATATATATATGTTCCAGGCTTCCTTGGCCCCCCCCCCCACCCCCCCCCAATGGTCATGCTCAGTGTGACCGCAAAGCCCCCCGCGACCATGGTTCCCACACCGCCCGCTGGGGTAGCAAGCAAAGTGCGTTTGCCACTGGCGCGTTGCAGCGCACTTGGTTGGCACTTGGTTGTGGCGCTGCAAACCACAAACTGCGTCGTGGCATCGCGCACTGTCAATTGCGACAGCGCTGCAACTTGTCGCGTGCTGCAAAATGAGCAAATCGCATTGCAGCGCATCACACGAACAGCGCCGCAAACGCGCCCACAACGTCGCGCGCACACTGGAGCAAGCCGCCCCACAAGCCCCCCCCCCCCGTCGGGGGCGGGGGGGCCAGGGTCCCCTTTCCCTGGATGGACCCATACCATTGGGGGGGGGGGGGCTGGGGACGACGGGCGACGGGAACATATATGTATATGTTTATATTATATGAAACAACTGGACCCTCTTCCAGGACACGGGCAGAAACAAAAGTGCCGAGTGGAAACAGCGTCTGCCAGCTTGAATTGCGGGCATGGTCAACACACAAAGCACAAGTGCTTGAATAATGGTTGCCCGAAGGGCCCCAAGCATAGCATCTGGGCCGGCTGACACAGGCAGCCTTGGCCCAGCGCACAGAGATGCCTAGCAAAAGACTCATGCAAATCAGGGAGATGATTATTGGGCCCATCAAAGTGTCCTCCTCAAAATTGCACTCTGTTCTGGTTGTTTAAGGAACCGCAAATGTATCTTGAGAACCCCTGAACAGGTTCACTTTAAGGGACCAGGATTATTGACAACCCATCTCTATACATATGTTATGCACCAGGTGTCAGCATGAGCTACTGTACGTGTCCTGCAACAAACACTATCGTCCTTGTTGAACCACAATTGCGTTCTAAATCAAAAGTCATTTCTGAACTCACCTGCTTTGGCTTTTTCCCTATGACACCCTGCCAGGCTCCGAAATCAGAGTAAGTAGCTTTTGCCCCCGTGTTGGAAATCTGGGTATCCATGCTCCATTCAAACATGGAACCAGGTTTGGGGATTCAACTCCTTCACGGGCACATGCCTTTCTGTGGCAGAAAGGTAGACCCCTTGGCATGACAGACAGTGGCCCTCAAACCAAGTCTCCCACAACCCTGCCCTTGTTCAAACATGAAAACTCGATTTTTGGAACAACCTGTTGGCTTCCCGAAGCTGACGAGGGCCCCGTTCCCTGCCTTCTTCCTGGGACTCGCCTTGGGAGCCCCGGCCCTTGGGCAGGCGGAAGGGCCAACCACCCACCAGCACTCGGTCCATGAGCCAGTTGCTCTTCTCGTGCGGACCTGAGCAATCAAAACCTGGTATTAAGATGATTGTGGCTCACCACTTGGGGTAAGCCGAGTGTTTGTCTGGGCAAGTTACTATTCCATAACAAGCAAAAAGGAAAGCCAACCAAGGAACCTTCATGGGTGGAATCGCTCGCTTTACCCCGGATCGGTGAGCTCGTCAATATAATTTTGCACACATGTTTATCCAAACACCACTGGGCCGACATTGTCCACACTGGCGAGGCCACAGACTAGTCAAAGGGGCACATCTGAGCAGCGGCGTGTCACCAGTAAGTGGGGAAAAAAAAACGTTTCGTGGCACCTGGCCCTTGCAAAGTTCCGGATGATTGACTGGCAAAATTCACTTCTCACCAGTTGGAACGGACGAAACCCTATGCTGGCTTCAACCCCCAATCCCAGCTGGTGCCGATCGGTATGGATTTTTGAAACCATGCACAGGGGGGTAACTGGCTCGGTCCGGCCTTGTGCCCAAAGATGCGCCTCCTTCAGCATCTCATGGAAGTCCGTCCATGTCTCGCACCCTGCTGCCGCCTTGTCCTTCTCTGACATCTGGCACCCATCTCAAAGGCGCCGCGTAGGCCCTACACGGCCCTGCCGCAAACTGGTTCCGACTGGATGTGACATCCTCATGCGTTTGTTCCTCTCTTGTCTGGCGGTTTAAGGCAAAGCCAGCCCCAAAAGTAACCAACATGTTCACTTGAGAGCCAGACAAACTCCCATTTTGGTGCCAAAGAAACTAGAACAACATCTGTGGATTGGGCTTGAGCTGGCACGTGATTTCCACACACAAAGCAAGTCCCCAAGTAGTCTGCTGGCAGGTCAAGACATTGACCAAGGGTCCACTCACTTAGCTCTGCTTGGGCCTATCGACTGTGCGGCATTTGCATAGAGGGAAAAGCAGCTTGCTGGCAAACGTGAACTGCGGATCAATTCGGAGGACCAGATTCATCTGAGGAATTCACTATGTAAGATCAGTTTATTCCCTTCAAGGTGTTGATTCTGAATGGACGTTATATAAGTCCCAAGTTGACATCATGAGTTCCACGAAGCAACTCTCCCGAGCGGCCTCGATCCCAACCCAACGCGCAAAGCTCTGCACGGCTTCGCTGGCTTTTCCCGCCAAGCCTGAAAACCGGGCCGAAGAACAAGCGAAAGCCACGATGTGACCTTGCTACTTGCAAGAGGCCGCACACACTTTAAAATCAGCCGCTTAGTGCTTAGATGGTCTGGGAGTTAGCTGAACGGCAAGTACCTCCAGTTGCAAGGGTTGCAGGCTGGCTCTCTGGGAGTTGACTGTGGTTACTAGCCACTTAGCTAACTCCCAGCCCATCCAAGTAATGCCGCTGGCTGTTAACCATGTGCGCAGCAAGTCGCGGAGCACAAGGATCCCCACCACCTCTCCATGATCACTCCCGAACCTGGATATGCGGACACTTCAAATCCTCTGGATTCTTCCAAGTTGCAAGAAGAGTTTCTCAGATTGCCTGATTGCCTGTCAGGTACTTAAAGTAGAAGAGCAATTGGTTGCCAATTGCAAAAATGCAGCTGTAATAACTGGCAAAAATAGAATTAGAGGGAGGCGGCACGCACTACTTGTTCTCATCATGCACGCTGAGAAAAACCTGCTCGTTTGCCCGCAAAGTGGGTAAATGGGGCACCCTGAAGCCCAGCCGGTGTTCCCCATACTGAGCTGGCAACCAGAGCCGACTCGCAAATGGGTACAAGGGGGACCGCCCAAATAGTGGCTTCAAGTTGGATACCCTCCAAAAACAAAACACGAGGCCACAAATCACATGATATGTCCGAAGCCGAGGTCAGGAACCTCCAGGGCCCGAGCATGTCCCAATCCAAATGACAAAATGGTTCCGCCAATGGGACTGGAGAGATGGGGGAGACCGGCTACTTCCTCAGGAAGGGGCCACAAGAGTCGGCATGGCCAGCTGCTCGATCTTGGAGAAACAGGCCAAACAATCTGGGGGAAACGTAAGACCTGTGACCTGCGGCTCAAAACTAAGGACCCTGGAGCACCCAAAAAGCTACATGGCTGTGGCTCAAAACCCCGGTACCAAAATGGAACGCTGGTAAGTGGAAACATGGACCAAAACCTGCGTAATCCCTCCTCCTTCATTTTGAGCCACACCCACATGAGTTTCACAGGTATATCAGCATGGCGGAAAGGCCCAAGTCGGCGGGCTGCCAGTCCGAGAATCCGAGAAACAAACCGCAGCCATGTGCCTCGCAGGAGAGCCCCCGCTGACGCCGCCCAGCTCTTGGCTTCTGACTCGGCTGTGTCAAGGGGGCCTCTCTGCCAGTATCGTTGCCAACCAACATGACTGAAACCGTGAGACTGTCAAGAAAGCCACCTGCCACTCACTGGCCATCTGCGGTAATGCTTGCCATGGCCCATGCAACTAACTGCAGCACAAAGGGTATGCCACGCAGGCAGCCAAACTTGTACTTGAAGGTCGGCCAAGACGTGCGCATCTGATAGTAATGGAGCCGAGCAAACATCGATGGCCTGTGAGTCCCCGCAGGGAATCTAAACCTACAAGCACAAGAAGCGTGGAAAGTCTGCTGGACTGCCTGTGGAAATTTCAGAAATGATATACAACTTGACACCAAGATTGACCAACTATCAGCAACTTCAAAAGCTTCTCTCTTGAGAAACCACGTCCAAATGGTGTTGACTTCAAGGCTGACCTTGGCAGAGTTGTCACTGCTCTTAAATCATTTCGGTCGGCATCCTACGCTGCCCCGCCGCACACCGCTCGGGTTTGAGAGAAGTGCGCCTTTGCAAACGGGCGGCAGTGAAAAGTGGCTCCTTGGATCGCCGGCCATCAACCTTCTGGCAATCGTCAGGCCCAGGCGCTGGCCAGTCGTCCGTGGAGTTGAAATGAAGCTAACTGCTGAAACTGAGATGACGGGTGTGTCAAAATGCGAGGAATCCCTTTTACGGTTGCGCAAAAATTCCGGGGCTTCCCCCATTGAGAGACACCCAGGACTTAGAAATGCCGAAGAGTCGAAGCGAATCGTCTCAGCTTAGCCCAGAAGGCATGTGCAAAAAATACTCCACATGATCTGAGTAAAGCATTTAGGAAAACCTGAAACAGACATCGAGTTGAGTCAGGAAACTTCATGATTGAGACCTTGGTTGCCTCATGGGTGCTTCTCAAACAAAGAGTTGCCTAAAATTGTTGGTGTGCTTTTGGTTCCCCTGCAACTACCACCCAAAAAAAGTTCACCCATTCTGGTCTTGGCCCAAAGATATTCTGTCGTGCGCTTCAGACTCGTGCCGAGTGCTTCTCCACCTCTCCACATTGTCTCATTGACTCATCCGCCCTTGTTTGGCGAAGCAGGCATATCTACTTGACACTGCGAGTCAGTAGCCAGCAGAGGCTGGCTCAGTGAATGCTCCTTAGCAGACAGAGTTCCCTATTTTTCCCACTTAAACCATCCTTCCTCCAAGGGAAACTCAGCTTAGGTGACGTTTCAAACCACCGAAGAAGAACCTACAGCGCGCTTGAAGATTGCATAGACACAACAAGCCATTCTTCGATTTGTCCGTGTCTCATTCTGTCATGGCAAGCTCTCACTTGAGTCGCAATCAAAACCCGGTACTACAATGGGTCTACCCAGAACCATGTAGTTAAGACTGCGGCCGCAGCTATTTATGCTTGGGATAGTCCCTTCACCTTCGTACCCGGGTTTTGAGCGCGTGGCTCACTGGTGTTTGGCCCGAGTCCAAACGTTTGGCCCGTGCGAACCGGCTTTGGCCCCGTGCGCTGGGCTGGCGCAGATGCCCTAAGGCCTCCTGGAGCAGGCCTTGACCTGAGATCCAGGAAAACGGGGGGGTTGACCAGGACAAATATTCCAAGCCTTCCAGTGGCACCCGTGGGTGAAAGAACAGCTTCCTCTTGTAGGGACTCCCTAGGTGCCATGTTAGTTGGAGTGAGAGTAATCAAGATTCCTCCCTCTAGAAAACCTTCGGAAACCCAAGGACAACGGCTGGTGGTTGCAAAGAACGATGGTTGAACATAATGGGGAATCAACCCCAAGAAAGAGCCCTTCATACTCGAAAGGCATGAGGGTTCATGGATGGTGAGAATATGTGCCAGGGACAAACTCTATCATTGCCTAAATTTCCAGGGGTCCCTGACCAAGGAAAGGGGGCTGGTTTGAGGGCATGGCTATGAGTTTCGATAGGAACACCCTCCCAAACGGCAGGGAATAAACCCCCCTTTAAAGGATGTCACCCAAAGGGTGCCACATTCAGGCAACCTGAACATATGTGCCAAGAAAATCCTCATGTGGGCCATAGACATGGTTCTAGAAATGGGCATCCTTATCATGAGAAATGGGAGAGATAATATTGCAAGAACCCTCCATAGCTTTGGAACATGCCCCAATCTTTAATACTTGCAGATCTTTCATAGGTGCGGAAAATGCTCAAAAGATATGTTGGAGGGTTCTCAGAGATATGAGACTGCATGTAGGATCTGTGCACCACTGTTGATCATGGGCGTGTGACCATTTTGCTCTTAGGCTGGTGGTTTTGGTCATAGGCACAATTTTGGAGCTGCTCACGGCGTGCCTCGGTCTCATTCATCGCAATTGTCCCCAAAAAGTGATCACCATCCCTGCCAGGCACAAACATGTGCGTCTCCTGGCCATGGCAAAAGTGAAAGCAAGCAAGCGAGCGAGCGAGCGAGCAAGCAAGCAAGCAAGACATGTGGCAAACAGTAGGAGAACTTGCGCATACAAGCGGCGAGACGTTGACAACTGGGAAAACTAGGAGTCATTGTGCGTTCTACGCTAGGTATGAACATAGCAACGTGCCGTTTGTTCATTTGACCGCTGAGATGTGCCCATCACACAGCATGGGCGGGGTCGTCCAATCCTTCTCAGACTTGTCGCACTCAATAGTGTATCTCTTTTGCTTTCCATTCATCTCTCCCATTTGCACAGGCCATGTCGTCCGGGGTGCAAGCTGAACTCTATCGTGGCACATCTTTGATTCATGCATATGCACGCGCCATGATCAACATACGCAGATCGAAATGAGTAAGTCTCCTGGCTTCTGCAGATTTAGAGCTCTTCTCCCTTGCCCTGGATGGACTTAGTGCCTGAACCTGGACCTTTTGTAAGGAAGCCGTTGCCATAAGTCAACGATTTTCAGACGCCCAGCCCGAACTGCCCCTTGGCTCTTGGGATCCCATGAAACACCAGAAATGAGGTCGCTCTTTGGAAGTCCCCCAAAGAGACCCAAGAGAAACCTGGGATCCCCAATTATCAGGATCCCAATAGTGCACAGGTTTTTCTCAACGGATAGCTCTACAACAATTTGGGCCCTCTAGCTGGTTAAGGTTAATGTTGGAACCGCTTTCTGCTTGGGGGCTCCTATTCTAGAAAGCTGTTTTTCCGATTCAAGCTCATAGGACTGTTTTGGGGTTGTCTACTATAGAAAGTTTCCCGAGAGAAACTCCGGGAAGCAAAAAGAAAAAGAAAAAAACACTGCCAAATTATACCAGATCAAAGCCTTAGCCCTTTTCTCTTACAGCGTAAATGATCTAAGCCCTTCACAACTCAAGGCCTCAGATCTGGGATTTCCTCTTGAAGTGACCCCAGCAACATCAATTGGGTGTGGCTCAAAATTAACCAGGAGGGGCAACCCGCAGGTTTTGGTCCATGTTTCCACTTACCAGGGTTCCATTTTGGTACCGGGGTTTTGAGCCACAGCCAATTATGTTTATCAGATTTTCTCTTCAAAACCTTGCAGCAGCATTTTCCGGAAGTAATCAGTCGCAACTCAACCAACATTGAAAGGCAAACTGAGCGGTGACGAAAAGATCGTTAAACGTCGCTTCAAGAAGATACTTTGGAAAAAGTCAAAGTTGAGAGGTTCACTTCTTTCCGATTGCAGGAACGCAAACGGATGTGCTCATTGAATTGAGCCAAACCCTCACCAGCTGCAACTCTTCTTGGGAGGCCCCACACGTTTCAAAACTGATGCCAAATCTTCCTCTCCGGTTTTGCTCTGACAACATGGATGTAGCTGTTTTTGGTGGTACCGTGCTTTAGGTGTTTCAAAGGAAATTAAAGGGCCCGATTTGGAGACAAGACCCAAACACCCGAATCGGCGGTTCAACCAGCTGAGCTCCCGTGCATTCCATCTTGTCGCCATTGAGCCGAACCTCTGCAGCTTCAGTGCCCATGTGTTGGTTGAGATGAGCTCGTCACCTCGCGGCCTATGTGTCAAGGTGTTTCTCAAAATCGGGGTCCTCCTTGTTTTGAGGGGTTTCCCTTTGAAGGAAAACAGCCTGATTGTTTTTCTGATTTGAGGCCAAATGGACCATAGACCCTAGGCAAATCTAGGGAAACAAGCCACTGCTGCCCTGGAGCAGCCGAAAGCCACAAAGGGCACGTAGTCCTTGCTCTCCGCCCTGTTGTTTGGACCCCCAACCCGTTTGGGCCCATAAACCAAAAGGTAAAATGGAGGTTTGGAGCCAAGTTCTGTTGCTCAAAAATGGCACATGTAGCAGATACATTGACAGCTTCCCTGGAGACTCAGCGAGGAAACAGAAGGGTGTGGCGTACCCCTTGTGGGTTAAATAGAAAACCAAAGGAAAGCTGCCAGTGTTGCGGGCTTGAGACAAACCCAACTACACTGACGGCCTCCCTCGAAATTCTCCAGTGTTGGGTGAGGAAAAACACCTTGCTTGCATCGTATGATCAATCAAGATGCTTTTTTCTTAACCCCTTTGGGTCTGGTTTCCGGAGGTCTCAATCAAAACTTTGTGAGAGCTGGGCTGCCGGCGATCATGTTCAAATGATGGTCGTGCAGCTCCTGGTTCTTGTGCCTCGACCAGAGCCTTAGCCACACGATTCGCTCCTCAGCTCCACCTGCCTGCGTTTCTGTATGGGGCATCCCAAAACTGAGGGGACAGAGAGGCGCCCTTTTGACACTTACACGCGATTAATCTTCCCCCACCCCAACACCCCAACAAGGGATAAAGTTGGCCAGGCCGTCCACCTGTCTGAATTTTGGGGCCGGCGCAGGCCAATGACAGCTCCCCAAGCCACCAGCACCGCAAGCACAAGGCCAGCTTTCAAGTAGCCTCGGGTCAAAGGCACATCTGCGGATGCGTGCACGTGGGTGTTTCTTTTCCAAGGGTCCCTTATTAGGTTGGGTTAAATGGAAACCAGAGAAGGAACTTCACCATTTTGGGGGTCGGGTGGAATCCTGCACAGCCCAATGTTCTGCACATTGCGAAGGCTGCATTGGACAAGGTCCGTTTGTGCTACGTGGGTGTTCGGTCAAGTTAAGAAGGGGTTAGCAACCTTGGTTATCACCTACTTATAAGTCCGTCAAATGGAGCTAGCACAGTAAGTAATTGGGGTATTCCTTAAGCTACGAACCACTCACCAACTTCGCCAACCAAAGACGGACGCCCAGGTGGACTCCCCAACTTTCTCTAGATGCTCTGAGGGTTAGCGTTCCAAAGGGTAAGGCGCACTAACCGTTTAAATTTGCTTTCCGGGTCCTGGCAAGTGAGGCTAAGATTAGCCAAAGGCCTACCAGCGCAGTTTCCCAGAGAAAAAAAAGAAGAAGAATAAAAACGGGGGGAAAAAAAACTGTCGAACTACATCTACCCACGTTGCCATTCAACCCGCCAGGTCGCTTTGAAGGACCGTCCATCGGCCTCCCTTTTGCCCCTCATGTCACGGGAATGGTCGATTCCGGTTTCTCTAGGGGGACCTTCCATTTCCATTCTTCAAGGGATCCGAATCTTTCTAGAAAACCTCCGGAATCCCAGGGAAAACGGCGATCGGTTTTTGAAAAGAACTTTTGGGTTGAAAAGAATGGACAAGGAATCAACCCCTACACTGGGACAAACCCACACACACACACACACACACACACTGTTGTTACCCTCAATGGAAACCAGCCCAGCCCGACGCGGTCGCTTGAATCAACCCCTGGAGTTTCTCAAGCAAGCAACGGTTCTCCTTCATGTCCAAGTGCTCCTCCATGGCCTCGGAATCTTCCGTGGCCTCGGTGGGGAAAACCAAATGCCACAGTCAGGAGTGCGTGACCTGGTTTCAAAAGCCAATCCTGCAACCAGTTGGGATGCATGAAACCTGAGGTGGTCACACAGGCTCCGAGTTTGCCCCTCCGCTTGGCAAAGGAATTCATTTCCCTCGTTGGGGCTTGCTTTCAGCCCCGAAGAACGAGAATCCAAAACAAGGAAATCCTGCATTCTGGGTACCCTTGAAGCTGCCTCCCCCGCCCGAGGTCAGAAAGTCCCGGGTCGGGTACGGAAATTTGAGGTCCGTCCACCCGGGTCGCCAAGTCCGGCCAAGTCAACTTGGGAAGTGAAGCCAGGGGAAACCAATTTGGGTGGTCAAAATAGGGGTTACCCACGAAATGATGGGTTTACCGTTGGTTTCAAACTCAAACTCAACCAAAAAAGGGATCCCGGGCCTCCAACAACATAGTTGGATCAAAAGCGCCCCAAATGTGGCGTTCAGTTTTCTGCTTTCCATTTGGTCTCCCTTTCAACCGGAGGATACCTTCCGTGCCACGTCCAGTCCAAAGTACAGTTTCAATTAAGCCTTTGTTGGTGGCTTGGATTGCCACTTTGGGGATTTGAACCCCTGGTGCTGGGAAATAGAGGGCAAAAGGCAGAACAAGAAAATCCACTACCCAACACCACGCGGCTTTGACTCAGAGGCTGGCCCTCTCCTTGGCCTCCTTTGCTTCTTTGATGGCCTCATCACTGCTGGACTTGCTGATGGCCCAGACCACAAGAACCCCGAACCTCTATGAAGTCCAAAACGGGCGCCCTCTTTGTTTCATGGTTGGTACCCCTCAAAATTCCTGGGGAAATGGCTCCCTTAAGGGAACCCCTCCAAAAGGGAAGGATCAACCTTAAAACGGCAGGTCTCGCCCTGCTACTCGATTTGAATGCAGCAAAATGTTGATTAGTCAGTTCCAAGAACCCTACCCCCTCCCAAAATCCAGATGGGAAAAATGGAAACGCTGATCACAAGTCTGGAAATGTGAGGCTTAGCTTGGGAGCGAAGCTGACTCCTGATTCCCTGTCCGGTCCGGTTCGGAGATCCATGAAAAGGGAGGTGACTCCCGGTTGGTTTCTCGTTGCAACCAATATCGAAACTGGGCCTTTCGATGTGACATCCTCAAAATGATCCGACCATTTACGGGGCTGTACAACCCCTGAAAATACCACCAGTAGAGACGGCCAGTGAAACGCTGCCATAAAAGATTAACATAAACCACCGGCGACTCTTCACCTTGCGATCAATCGTCGGAAAGGATGTTTATCAGATTCACAGGCTGAAGCTCGCAGTTGTGTGGGACTTTTAGCCCCATGTCCCTCCCGAATCGACCATAGACTACTGCACATTTTGACCGAACCTCTGGGACTCAGTGCAACCATGTGAGGCAGCTCATGCAAAAACGTCGCAAAGCTATGCGCCTCCTCCTGCTCAGCTTGTCTTGCTGCAGCTTGCTCCCTCATTTCTTCAGCCTAGGCCGAAAAAATGATCGACCCCTGGACTCTGGCTGAATCGGGACAGCAGGTCCGACCTTCCAAGTTTTGACCCTGGGTTGGTCAAGCTGACAGATCAATAGGGTGCTTCCCAAAATGACTTGGATACCCTCTGAACTGGGACACAAGGACACTATGAATCAAAAAGGGGCAAATCAACACTGGACAACATCAACAAAAGACACCTGATGAAGCCTGGCCTGATCCAACAAAGCATCACTCTACACCGCACCGCATCTTTTGTCCCAACTGCGCATGAAGGCCCTCTCACAAGGAAGCTCTAGTCGTCCACACCGCCTGCGTCACCCGATCCATTTTAGCAGGCACCGTGATCCTAACTGACCGTGGGTCGTTTGCAGCATTCTTCATTTCGAGGCTGCACCAGTGGAACTTTCGGCTCAGGCTGGCTCTCTTGAAGGGATCACTCGTACTTTCAAACCATCATGCAAACTTGCCAGTTTCTGAGCATGACATCAGATGTCTGCTTTTCTGAGCACAACATGATGCTTCTGTTGCAAATGGCGCACGGTTGTCGGTCGTTGGCAAGGACTCGTCTTTGTGAATCCCAGCGCCATGACGGCCCGGGCCATCGGGTCTTGCTGCTTCCGCAAGTTTGGGCCATGTGCTGCTGTGTGTTTCCTACGAGGAACGTCTGTTTGGGCCAAGGGTGAGTTCATGTGGATGAGATGCTGTCCATCCGCCAAAGAAGTGTCGCTTAAGATTTCGGTACAGTGCCCTTAAGACGTCCTCAAAATCCTCCAAACAGTAGTTTGAAGGGAAACAACCCCAACAAAAGTAAAGTTGGAATAAAAGGAAACCGCCGGGACCCAAACCAATTTCAAGAGCAAGCACTTTAAGGGGACCGCAGCTGGGTCAGCAATCAAAAATATCCAGTGGGCAGTGGGCCTAGATGTCTGAAGGATTACAAAGAAGGCCATTGCTCACATGCAAGGTCATCAGTCATCCCCAGGCTTGTCGGGTCATAGTCAGTACCTGATGCATTTAGCAGTCCCAAAATCCATGGTAAAGAACTTACCCTTCCTTGGTCTGGTAGCGAAAAGCAACTAAAAATGAACAGAACCCATTTTTGTTTTTTGAAAACCCAAACCACTTGCCAAGAACAGGAACAGTGAACCTAAGGCTCTAATCCTGACCTTTGGTTGGGATGGCCCCCACGGTCAAACCAATAAACTTTCATGCAAGCTGAATCTACCCATGGCTTCCGCGCAATGCCCCCCCCGCCAAGAAAGACACTCAGAACGAGCCAAGAAGGTTTCCTGTGGGTGAGCCCTTGGCTGCCTCCCTATGGAAGCTGACAATTGCAGGATTTGGTAAGACGGAGAGTTTCCTTTTGGAGAAGCCTCAAAGCGTCCACTTCCTTGGTTGCTTTGTTTATGCATTATTGTTTTACCTTCCTGACTTGTTAAGCTTCCCATGCTTTCCTTTAGACCCTTAAAACGAGTACCTTCAAAAGGCACACGTTTCCATTTGAGCCCAAAACATGATTTCGTTCCAGCAAGGCGTGATAAATTTAGCCTCATGCCCTGTTTTTGTTGGGTTGAACATTTACCCTTGCCGTTTACGTGCCCCCTGCTTGTCCCTCCCATGTTCTCAGGTCGCGCCTTGCAGCTGCTTCCTGAGGCGCGCGATGGTCGCGCGCACCGTGGCCGCCGGGCCCGTGGTCAGGGTCCAGCAGCCGCCCGCCATGATCCTGCGGCTTCGGCCCTTGGTTGCTGTTGACCCTGCAAAAAGTGGCTCACTTTTTGGAGGCTTTGCGGAGAGAACACCTTTATTTCCCAGAAAGTCAAAGTCTACAGATCCAACCCAATCGCAGTCGAGTTCCAAAGGTCCAAGGTTGTAAGCCGGCACCAAGGGCAGCTCGCCTTTAGACAAAAAGGTGCCCACAATATCGGGACTGCCAGAGCCCGCGCTTGGCAGATTGTTCTCCAAATGGTGGGGCAGAGGGGACTAAAAGGCCACGGAGTCTCTTAGGTGTCCCTTGAAAGCAACCCCGAAAAGCCTGAACAGTGCTGCAAAAGCGGAGCAAAAGAAGTAAAAAACCATCCCTTTGCTCAGCTGACTCAAACAAACAAACAAACAAAGAAACAAAGAAACAAACAAAGAAACCAGCAGAAGCAAACCAACTAACACAAAGGAGAACAGAATATAACTGAACAGAACAGAACAGAACAGAACACAACAGAACAAACAAACGCAGAAACAAACAAAGAAACCAACATAACCAAACCAAACAACACAAAACAGAATAGAACAGAACAGAACAGACAAACAAACACACGCAAACAGACAAACAAACAAACACACTGAAACAACAAACAGCGAAACCAATCCAAACCAAACCAACAAACAAACACACATACATAGCAACAAAGCAATAACATAACACAACACTTCGCAATACAACACAACACAACGCTGCACAGCAAACAATCAAGCGAGCGAGCGAGAGAGCGAGCAGGCAAGGAAGCAAACAAGGACACAAACAAACAAATAACAAACAAGAAGCAAGCAAGCAAGCAAGCAAACAAACAAACAAACAAACAAACAAGCAAACAAACAAGCAAGCAAGCAAACAAACAAACAAACAAACAAGCAAGCAAACAAACAAACGGACGGACAAACAGAAAGACAAATAAAACCAACAAGCAAGCAAGCAAGCAAGCAAGCAAGCAAACAAACAAACAAACAAACAATCAAACAAGCACGCAAGCAAGCAAACAAATCATGCAAACCAAAAAAAACACGACCAACCAAACAAACAAGCAAACTCACCAACAACGAAAACAAAACCAACCAACCAAACAAACAAACAAACAAACAAACAAACAAACGGACGGACAGACAGACCGACAGACAAACACACAAGCAGACAAACAGACAGACGGACAGACAGACAGACAGACAGACAGGCAGGCAGGCAGGCAGGCAGAAAGACAAACAAAATAAACAAAACAAACAATCAATCAAGCAAACAAACAAACAAGCAAACAAACAAGCAATCAACCAACAAACCAACCAACAAACCATACAAGACAACCCAAACAAACAAGCAAACAAGCAATCAAACCAAATAACGGATGAACAAAACGAAACAAACAAACCACACCAAGCCAAACCAACAACCAACCCCAACCAACCAACCAACCAACCAACCCACCCACCCACCCACCCACCAACCAACCAACCAACCCACCCACCCACCCACCCACCAACCCACCAACCCACCGACCCACCGACCCACCGACCCACCGACCCACCGACCCACCAACCCACCGACCCACCGACCCACCGACCCACCGACCCACCGACCCACCGACCACCGACCCACCGACCCACCGACCCGCCGACCCGCCGACCGACCGACCAACCAACCAACCAACGAACAACCCCGCTGGCTCCGCTTTGTCCTGTTGCAGCTCTTGGCTTTGCACTTCCAAATGCCGCCAGCCACGCGCTTCACGTTCTCCTAACCAAACTGCTGGCAAGCTGCATGGGCACCCTCGTTTGCCGAAAGGACCCAAAAATACAAGGCTAACCTTCTGGGACCAAAAAAATGAACCAAAAAGGGGAGGGCACCAACATGGACATCGACCACACAAATCAGTGATAGACCTCCAACTGCAAAGCAACACAGGTGCCACGGCACAATCACTTCCCCGCATTTAAACATTCACTTCGTTGAGAAGTACTTCAGTACTATTCTCGGACCGGTTGTCCGGCCCTCAATTCTCATGGGGCTCCCCAGTCTCGTACCCAACAGCGAACCCCCGTGTCTCAAAATGGTTGCCCTTACCACATGAGTTGAACAAGCACAAGTGCAAGCAGTTTCTGTTGCATGGAAACCGTTCGACATTTTACAGCTTGACCTCCAGAAACTTCCCGATCCAGAAGGCCGCACATCTCCAAACATAAACCTGGTCAACTTCTGGGCCTCCATGAAGCGTTTCCCCCTGAAAGTTGATTGATCCTTGGGTCATCTCTATCAGAAGGCGAAAATAAAATTAAAAAAAAACAAAAAACACGCGCTGCCCTGGGTGCTTTCTCATCTGGCCAACGATGCAAAACCGACGCCGAGGCCCAAAGGTCCTTGCCGCAGAAGGTGCACATGTAGCGGGCGCGCTGCTGGATCTCGTAGCGCTTGATGATCTTCCTGCGACCAATGGAAGTTCGCCGCCCATGGCGTGTTTTTTTTGATGTGGGACCCTTGGGTGGACATCGTTTACGTTGAGGTTCAGGTGCACCAACTACTTTTGAGGTGGTTCCCCCCAAGAGGGCATGAGGAAAATGCGTGCTCGTGATGGTTGTGTGTGGGAAACTGAGCCCTCTCAAACGGACCGTAGACTGCTGGGCATGTGTGGGTGCTTCTCTTCTTTCTCGACCATCGGGTTACTCTTTTTTGGTCTCCATAAACCATCCCACCCCGACATCGGTCACATGGCGTTCCATGCTTCCGGCTTGTTCAAGACTCCGAGAGCTCCAGCGGTTTTCCATGGGGAAAAAAGGGCACCCTCCTTGTGGCAGTTGATTTCAAAGAGAAAACCCCTGACAAAAAAACAGAAATAAAGATCTTAAATATATATATATATATATACATATATATATATACATACATATACATACATACATATATAGAATACATATATAAATTTATATATAAACGAAGAATGGGCGCCCCTGGAGGTCTGGGGAGCTTACGCTCGGACCGCTCCTGAGCGAGGCACCATAGCGGGTGCCATACTTGCCGGTGATTCCGACCTTGGCAAACCGCGGCGGTCAAAAGCAAGCCGCAAGCACCTCCTTTTGCGAATAATCCCCATGGATACTTGCATGCCACAAGTGCTTGAAAAAATCCAGCGTTGAATGACAGCCCCTTTTCACAGCACATGAAGAATGGGTGTACTGCACATCTGCCCCAACTCTCCTTGCCACTTATCCCGTTGCCTCAGCCTACCCCCGAATGTTGATCATGCACACCCGAAGAAGGCATCTACGATCTTTTTGCTGTGGCAGCGACCACAATTCAAGACGTGGAGCATTTGCCATTCTCTGCAACAGCCAGTACCCTGGAATATCCATCAACCTACAAACCAGAGAGGGATCACAACGGATTCCCTGGAAGTTCGCTCCTTTGCTCACATGAGCCACGGGCAGATATGCAGTTCCCAGTTCCCATAAAAGAGATGGGACAAATAGCAAGTCCCTCGATTGTGGGAAATTCAGTGAGCCCCCCGTGTCCCTTCAGACTGATAGACTATTGGACAAGTTGACTGAACCTCACGTGCCACGCTCGGAGCCTTCTTCGTGCGCTTGGCCATGTCTTCAGAAGGGGCGCAGTTGGGTGCTTGAGCCTTCACAAGCGGCCGATCGGAGCTGTCTTGGCATGCAGCCGCGGTTGCTGCTTTTCGGATGCGAAAGAATAGCACAACCGCACAGAAACACCATCAAACAGTGCTGTGAGTAAACATCTGCCAAGTGGATCAAAGTATATACACACATATATATATATTATGCATGATCACATATGCATGCAAAGAGCTGCTTTGACTACTCCTGCAACCTGTCCTGAGACAAGCGAGGCGCATGCTAGCAGCGAAGCATCCCGTAGCGGCCGATAGGCACATCTTTTTGAACCTGCCCAAGCACCGATCAATCGCTCGTCGGCCAGCAACTTAGTCATCAACTCCACCTTAGGAGCGAGCGACGTGCGGTCGCAAAGGAAGCGTCATCCCATGTGTGGGCCGGGGATGGCAATAAGCTCTGCTCTCACTAATATGCCTTCAACTAGCAGGGTTGCTCCAATGATCATGAAAGCAGGGCATCATATTGGCCCCTGATGAAACAAAATAATTTTAATAATAATAATAATAATAATGATGATAAGAAGAAGAAGAATAATAGGAATAATAAAACATAATAATAATAATAATAATAATAATAATAATAATAATAATAATAATAATAATAATAATAATAATAATACTAACAATATTAATAAGCAAGACACTACACCTAGTTTCTACCCTTCTGGTTCTGGTCATCTCTCTGACAGCAACCCGCACTAAGCTGCTACCAGCACTGGGCACCCCTGCCCTGCAGCTGCTTCCTGAGCCGCGCGATGGTCGCGCGCACCGTGGCGGCCGGGCCCGTGGTCAGGGTCCAGCAGCCCCCCGCCATGATCCTGCCGTTCAACCCGAGCATTCCGTTAAAAGCCGAGACGTTGTGCATCTTGTGCCACTTCCTTTCAATGGAAAGTAGGAAGCAAAATTGAACAAAGTGGTGAAATTACTCAAACAAGAGGAGCATGCTACTGAGAGAGCCGATCGAAGCGGCCAAAACCCGTGCTATGGATGGCCATGCCCTGATCCAAAACTTGCATAAATTTTCGGAGGGTGCCACATTCCACGTCATCCCCAGAGTGGAAGTGGACGGCTTCTGAGTTAAAGCCAGACAGCATTCGCACAAACGCACTCGCACGCGCGCGCACACACAGACACACGCCAACAAACCAACACGCAAACACGCAAAGACACACCAGCCGAGCACTCAGCACAAGCCAGCAAGCAAGCAAGCAAGCAAACAAACACGCAAACAAGCAGGCAGGCGGGCAGGCAAGAAGGCAGGCAGGCAAGAAGGCAGGCAAGCAGGCAGGCAAGCAGGCAGGCAAGCAGGAAGGCAAGCAGGCAGGCAAGCAGGCAGGCAAGCAGGCAGGCAAGCAGGCAGGCAAGCAGGCAGGCAAGCAGGCAGGCAAGCAGGCAGGCAAGCAGGCAGGCAAGCAGGCAGGCACGCAGGCAGGCAAGCAGGCCGGCAAGCAGGCAGGCAAGCAGGCAGGCAAGCAGGCAGGCAAGCAGGCAGGCAAGCAGGCAGGCAAGCAGGCAGGCAAGCAGGCAAGCAGGCAGGCAAGCAGTCACGCAGGCAAGCACGCAAGCAAGCCAACTTCCAGCCGAGCAGCCAAACAGCGGGCCAGGACTTTTCCCCCCGCAACAAAAAGAAAGGCAAAAGGGCACTACTGGGAGATCTAGTTTCTCACCCTGATAGATTCCTTAGATGACTAAACCCCCAGGTAAACCAGGGCCCTCTATTTCTCTACCAAAACAACCAAAAAGGACGCCTATGGTTCCTGGACTTTTCCTAGGTCCTCCAGTAGAGAGGTTAGAATAAGGGTACCCTTTTTCCTGCAGTCTATTTTAGTAGGGGAACCCTTCCCCCCCCAAAAAAAAATAAGCTCAGGTGATATCCCCAACAGCATCGAACAGCATGCGGTGCTCTCTTTGGTGCTCGCACCACCCCGCAGAACCTCGTGGAACCCTCGTGGAACCCTGGTGGAACCCTGGTGGAACCCTGGTGGAACCCTGGTGGAACCCTGGTGGAACCCTGGTGGAGCCCTCGTGGATTCTTGGTGGAACCCTCGTGGAACCTTACCTCAGGGCCGCCCCGAACCACCCCGGAGCCTATCTGGGCTGAGACCCCAAAGCTTTCAGCTGTTGGGGAAAAAGAAAGAAAGGTAAAAGCACTACTGGGAGATCTAGTTTCTCACCCTGATAGATGACTAAACCACCAGGTAAACCAGGGCCCTCTATTTCTCTACCAAAACAAGCAAAAAGGACGCCTATGGTTCCTGGACATTTTTTAGGTCCTCCAGTAGAGAGGTTAGAATAAGGGTACCCTTTTTTCCTGTAGTCTATTTTAGTAGGGGAACCCCCCCCCCCCAAAAAAAAATAAAAAATGTAAAAGGGCACTTAGTTTCTCACCCTGATAGATTCCTTAGATGACCAAACAGCCAGGTAAACCAGGGCCCTCTATTTCTCTACCAAAGCAACCAAAAAGGACGCCTATGGTTCCCGGACTTTTCCTAGGTCCTCCAGTAGAGAGGTTAGAATAAGGGTACCCTTTTTTCCTGTAGTCTGTCTTAGTAGGGGAAAGGGCACTACTGGGGGATCTAGTTTCTCACCCTGATAGATTCCTTAGATGACTAAATCGCCAGGTAAACCAGGGCCCTCTATTTCTCTACCAAAACAACCAAAAAGGACGCCTATGGTTCCTGGACTTTTCCTAGGTCCTCCAGTAGAGAGGTTAGAATAAGGGTACCCTTTTTCCTGCAGTCTATTTTAGTAGGGGAACCCTTCCCCCCCCCCAAAAAAAAAAAAAAAAAAAAAAGACAGGTAAAAGGGCACTACTGGGAGATCTAGTTTCTCACCCTGATAGATGACTAAACCACCAGGTAAACCAGGGCCCTCTATTTCTCTACCAAAACAACCAAAAAGGACGCCTATGGTTCCCGGACTTTTCCTAGGTCCTCCAGTAGAGAGGATAGAATAAGGGTACCCTTTTTCCTGCAGTCTATTTTAGTAGGGGAACCCGTCCCCCCCCCCCCCAAAAAAAAAAAAAGGAAGACAGGTAAAAGGGCACTACTGGGAGATCTAGTTTCTCACCCTGATAGATGACTAAACCACCAGGTAAACCAGGGCCCTCTATTTCTCTACCAAAACAACCAAAAAGGACGCCTATGGTTTCCGGACTTTTCCTAGGTCCTCCAGTAGAGAGGATAGAATAAGGGTTTTCCTGTAGTCTATTTTAGTAGGGGAACCCTCCCCCCCCCCCCAAAAAAAAAAAGAAAAAAGAAAAAGAAATGCAAAAGGGCACTACTGGAGGATCTAGTTTCTCAGCCTGATAGATGACTAAACCACCAGGTAAAACCAGGGCCCTCTATTTCTCTACCAAAACAACCAAAAAGGACGCCTATGGTTCCCGGACTTTTCCTAGGTCCTCCAGTAGAGAGGTTAGAATAAGGGTACCCTTTTTTCCTGTAGTCTATTTTAGTAGGGGAAAGGGCACTACTGGGGGATCTAGTTTCTCACCCTGATAGATTCCTTAGATGACTAAACCGCCAGGTAAACCAGGGCCCTCTATTTCTCTACCAAAGCAACCAAAAAGGACGCCTATGGTTCCCGGACTTCTTTCTAGGTCCTCCAGTAGAGAGGTTAGAATATGGGTACCGTTTCTTTCTTCTGTAGTCTATTTTACTGGACCCTTCCCCCCAAAAAAAAACAAAAGGTGGTATAAGGGCACCTAGCTGGGGGATCTACCCTGGCTCTGGCGCATCCGTCCTGTTGCAGCTCTTTGCCTTGCACTTCCAAATGCCGCCAGCCTCGCGCTTCACGTTCTCCTGACGCATCTCGTGTGAGCATGGCACTCGCATGGCACTCGCGTGAGAGAAACATCGAGCTTCACCTTCTGCAGGTTTTACCAACTTCAAGATTAATATGAGTCGTAGGGGATCAATTTCTGATTTTGTTTTGAAAAAAGGCGCATGTGTACTGATTAATGTCTGATTCTTTTTATTTTTAAAAATCCCAGGGTTGGCTTCATTACATCTTTCACATGAACACACCAACTTGTGATTCAACAACCGGATCATAATTGGCCGCCTTGGAAAGGGAGACCAAAAGAAGGAAACTGGTTCAACAGAAAGTCCGCCCAACCATGCCGACCTCTACCGTTCAGTGAGGGAATACGTGGCAAAGTTTGGGCAGGCGAATCCTTGCCGCAAAAGGTGCACATGTAGCGCGCGCGCTGCTGGATCTCGTAGCGCTTGATGATCTTCCTCAAGGGCCGCTTCTTGCAATCGAGTAATTGACAGAGACAAACAAGAGCCCCTGCAAGGATGTGCTTTGCTGGTTGAAAGTTGAAAGAGAAAATGAAGGAAAGCAAAACGGCAAGAGTCACAAGGCAAAATAAATCTGGCGATGCTGACAGCTGCGTGCTGGCGCCGGAATGCACAAGTGAAACGCACCGACATTTGGCGGGCGCATGTGCTGGCAAAGGAACAAATGACCAAAGGAAAGCGAAAGGCCGGCCTCAAAGACGCGCCATAGCGTGTGCCGTACTTGCCAGTGATGCCAACTTTCTTTGTTCGCTTGGCCATTGCGTCGCTCCACTACGCCACTGTAACGGTGCTTGAGCCTTTCCCTGCAACAGAAACAGGCTCGGCACCCCAGGTCAGTCATCTGCAGCAAGCTGAACCAGCCTTACCCAGGCTGAAAGTGCACTAAGCTCAGACTTCAAAAAGCTGAGTGATTAATGACAACTGTCAAAGAGTTGTAGGCGTGCCACAGGCTGCGCAGCAGCCAAAGCTCAGCAGCATATTTTTCTTCTCTCCGCACACCACCGGATCATTGAGCTGCTCAATCGTCGACGCCGCCTTGCGGCACCATGAAGCGCGCTCGCAAAGAGAAAAGCTTCCGCAGCAGTCACCCGTTGGCAAAAGGAAGAAACATTTTCAGGTAAAGATGATCTGCATCGTTAAGATTTTCGACTGTGCCATGAATCGCCTGCTGCAACTGCTGCATCCACAAATACAAAGCAACGCCCAATGCCTCGACAAAGTCTCTGTTTGCTCCACAAGGACTTGCAATTTTTCTGGCCTTTCTCGAGTCGCCAGAAACTTGTCGTTTGAACGTGACGA